CGATACCTTTCCTCTTCTTGTGATCTCTGCTTTGGCTATTGCAGGATATGGGTGTAGCGGGACTCTGGGAGGTTTGTTGCATGAGTTGATACGAAAGTTTGCTCTAAGTCACGGTCTAATAGGTGCTACGACCTGCTGGACAAACACAGTCATTAACACATCTATCTGTTACCCAAGGATTTGAAGCAAATGCTGGTGGTCGACGAGGCTTTCGCATAGGCATTGATGCCTCAATTTGGTTCTTCCATGCCGCGTACGGTAAAGAAGGAGAGAATCCGGAACTGCGTACACTCTTCTTTCGCTGTTCCAGACTCATGAGCATGCCTCTCCTCCCACTCTTCGTATTCGATGGTCCAAAAAGGCCTTCTGTCAAACGCGGGAAGAGAGTAAGTGGCAACGCGCACTGGCTCACTACTGGAATGAAAAATATCATCGTTGCTTTTGGTTTTGAATGGAGAACGGTGCGTCTACGCGAAAAGTGATGACGAAAAGAAGATTTATGATGTACAGGCTCCTGGCGAGGCCGAAGCTGAGCTTGCGTACCTGAATCATATGGGAATCATCGATGCTGTCCTCTCCGATGATGTTGACAACTTTCTATTTGGTGCCACTATGGTTATTCGCAAGTAAATCCTATCACCCTGAGCATACTGTCGAAAGCTAACTTTTGTATAGTCCCAGCAATACACTTTCCGGAAACCGGGCGCACCCAGTGAAAAACGCCGACGGACGTGATGACGGAAACCACGTCGTGACGTATCGCGCCGCTGATATCCTCTCCCACGACGATATCTGTCTCTCCCGAGGAGGCTGTATTCTAATTGGCCTCCTCTCCGGCGGAGACTACCATCAGGCTGGCGTTCAAGGCTGCGGGAAGCTCATTGCCGCTGCCCTCGCACGTTGTGGATTCGGAGACCAACTGCTAGAAGCTGCCAACTCCCTCACCCGCGAGGAGCTAGAGAAGTGGCTTGACACTTGGCGTGACGAAGTGCGCGAGGAACTGCGTACGAACAAGAGTGGCCTCATCGGATCGAAGAAACCTGCACTCGCAAAGAAGATTCCTGATGATTTTCCTAATGTCGATATTCTACTATCCTACACCAATCCTATCACGAGCGAGACAGAGGGTAAACCTACGCGAGAAATTACTTGGGAACAAGAGCCCGACATTGGTAAAATTTCTGCACTTTGCGAACTGTACTTCGAATGGGGTGTGAAGGACGTGATCATCAAGCGTTTTCGCACAGTTTTGTGGCCAAGCGCCGTGCAACGTATTCTGCGGCGTGGTGCAATGGAAAAGGACGAGAAGAAACGTAGAGGTTTACCGATGAGCCCTAAAAAGAGCAAGACAACAGGCAAACTTGCGCCGGGAACGCCCTCGAAGATGATTACAAAGTACTTTTCGTCGATGAAGCTCCACTCTCCAACCAAAGACAACCGAAAGGAGCAAGAGCACAGTGATACTGAATCCGAAGCAGAAGAAGATAGGCTGATTGTCAAGATTCACTCCTCGCGACGGCACGCATCTACGGATGGAATTCTTGAGTACCGGCTGGAGATCGCCCCTGCGCAGCTTGTACAACTAGCTGGAGGCGGCGTTCAGGGAATAAGGCCCCCAATCGAGGTAGATGCTGCCTTCGACGATACTGAAGGGGATGATGAGGATGAGGATGAGGATGGCGGAAAGCAAAAGGGCAAGGGAAAGGGAAAGAAACCTCCACCAGACCCCAAGAGCCACCTTCGTGTGTGGATGCCAGCATGTATGGTGCAGACTGTGGAGCCGGAGCTCGTCGAAGCCTTTGAGGAAATCCAGCGCAGAAAGCTGGAGAAAAAGACCAAGCGATCGAATAAGACAGATGGGAAGAAGAAGGCTGCTTCCACTGCGCAGGGAGATAGCGATGGAGATTCCCTCCCTGTTCTAGCCCCTACGAAGAAGAAACCTACCCGTCAGAAGAAAGCCGTGGTGAAACGGCAGGACAGCGGGCTTGCTCCTCCCTCTGTCCCAATCACCAATGCTTCCGATGATCCTTTCCTGGAGCCTGAGAGTACTGTTCATGTTGATATGTCTCGGCAGTCCCAAACTGGTTCTCAGAAACATACGAAATCATCTGACTCGGATTCTCCACAATCCTACATAACTAAGTCTCCAAGAAAATCATCGCAGCAAACATCCCCGCGCTCGTCAGGTTTAATCAGGCCCATGGATTCAACATCATTTATACAGCCGATGCGCAAGCTTGACGACATCATTGATATCTCGAACATGACGGAGAGGAAAAAGAAAGATGTTTTCATCGCACAAGGCGGTAGCGATAAGGATGCTCTCCCACTTTCATCCCCTCCGAAGAAGACAACAGTCCGTCCAAAGAAAGCAGTTGTGGAACCCCGTGTCACCGCGCATGCTCCTCGCCCTTTCCCGATGTCAGGTTTCATCAGTACTTCTGACGATCCTTTCATAGAGCCCGCGAATTCTATTCGCTCTCATATGCCCCAGCAGTCCTCACAAACCTGCTCTAAGAAGCATACCAAATCGTCCGACTCTGAATCCCTCCAATCCGCTGTAACCAGATCTCCAAGGAAAACGCCGCAGCGGACATCCCCGCGCTCGTCAGGCTTGATCACGCGCCCGAATTCACCATCACTCGTGCAGTCTATCCACAAGTTTGACGATGTCATTGAGATCTCTAGTGATTCCGATGTGCCATTACCACCCACAAAACTTTCTGTCAAGGCACCCCTGCTGCTGGCCAGAGAGAAAGCCAAGAATGGGAATAATTTATCTCACGTCAAAAACAAACGCCCTGGCCGAGTCGAGTCGACGTTCAAGGGCCAATCAACGAGAATAGTTGTGGCAGATAACGACATCATTGATTTGACTTGCTGAATTGCTCGTTATGAGGCGTAACTCGAGTCTTTGGTTGTACAACAAGCTTGTATGTGTAGTAGACGGATCTACAGGATATACCCTCTGTATGTTTTGAATGTGAAGCATTTTCAGGTAGTTATTCTCCGTGGTTTGTCGATCTTAGAATGATTCTTCCATTGGAGCTACACCACTATTCTAGTCTGCCGGAAATTTTCTTGTTTTTTATGGTGATCTGACATACGGTACCCTGAGCTCATCTATGACATCCCTCGAGATACACGAGGCCGTTTATTGCATACTCATCTATAGTGAACATGACAGTACCACAAGCTTGACTATTGGCAACTCGACAAAAATGGTGAAAGCATTGAGCAATCTATGGACGAGTGGATGTGAAAGCGAATACTAGCGGAGACAGTGGAAGGTATTGATACACCATCAATTGAAAATGAGTGGCAGTACAGTAGGAACTCATCGGAAAACAACAGTTCGTAAAATCAAGAAAACAGTGAACAGAAACACATAACGTCCATTTATATGACAGTGAAAATTGGTACTAATCGTGCAGTCGGGTGTGCCGAGTCGCCGACATACATGCCTAACCGCCGGCCTTGCCGAGCAAAGCATAGCCATTTCCTGCTGGGCCGTGCAGCTACATCGCACATGAGAAATGTGGAAACAAGAAAAAAGGGGATAATCGTACCTTTGAGTAACATCGGTGGCAAAGGGGATCCCCGTCTTTCTCGGTCAATCTAGTGGAATCTAACGGAGTATTGCACTCCTTGCACCTCAAACATCCCTTGTGCCAAGTCTTTCCTATGGCCTTCATCTATCCCACGCATATCAATCAAATTCACACCAGCTCCTCGATAAAAATTACCTGTTCAGCGAAATAAACATTCTTCCCACATCGCGGACATGTTGGAGTCGCGCCCGCAGAAAATGCCTTTACGGGAGTGCCACCGCTACCAAATGCTACGCCATACCTTGTGCCGGTGGAAGTTGGCTGCAATGGCGTCATCGGAGATGAACTTGAACGTGCAAGTGTTACAGAAGATAATTTCGGGGTAGACGTAGTATTAGTTCCATTGCTTGCTGATTTTGTTGGGCTCAGTGGGACAGTACGCGGCATGTCGCCGATGCGTACTGTGCTAGTAGCTGTCCCCGTAAACGTGAGGGCCGGAGGTGGCGTAGATTCCGCCGGCGTCTCTTCTCTCACCCCCTCGTGGTGCAAGATTGTGTTGACAGTTTGATTCGTGTTTTCAGAGCTAAGCTCGACGATAGGATTGTTGGGTGAGCGATTGAACCGTGCGGGGAGGACCGAGTTCGCTTTGAGGATGGGCGATGGCGACATGGCACCATTCGTATAGCGTCCTGTGGTTGAGTTTTGCGCGCGCACCGGTGATCGCGCACCTTGTCGCTGGCTTAGATCGACTGATTCACCACGTATGAAAGTGGGTGCAGGGAAGGAGTTGCGCACAGGTGATGTAGGAAGTGGTGGAGGTGTGGCCATGTCATTGCGATGGGGGAGATTGGCCTGTCTCAGGTCGCGAGTGCCGAAATTTCGAACGTGACATGTTTTGCTGTAATTCAGATCAATGATTGAATGACATGAAGAGTCGTGGGGACTACCAGTATGGCTAAGCAGGGAAGGGGGTAAGCTACGCGATGCATAGCAACCTCATAGGCAAGACGTACCTCCTGATCGTGTTCAAGAAGCGTCAATGAGTCTAACCTCTTATTACATGTCGTGCAGGCCAGGCAAGGCTGACCGAACTTATTGTTAAATCACACGAACCTAGGCGTGTGGGTGAACTCACCTTGTGATAGAGCTGATTACGTTAATTAATAACATTTTGTATTGCAGAGTACTATCGATCAGCCCACCTTCCTACCAGGTCCCATCACCTGTCGGATATCAATAAGAAATCGCGAAGCATGAAACGAGGCTGCTCACTTGTTCTGCAGCATAAACAGCCTTGCTGCATCTAGGACATATCGGTGTACCGCCAAACGGGTGCATGGCAGCTATGTAATATAACCGACTTGTACCTGATCTACAGATTGGTGCAAGCTTGAAAGATGGTCGTTCGTTGTCGCTTATGCGTGACTATGTACTTCGGAGGAGTAACGGGAAACATCCATCGGAGATTGAAAGCTATATCGCTTTTTTGCTACAGGCCAAATCTTTCGTCCATCGCCATCTCCCTCTTATCCAGTTCATAGATTTTTTGTTTTCTCCTCTTATTCTGTCATCATGTCTGACGATGAGCAACACAACCAGCAGTTCGAGCAGGTCCGCCTATTTTATCTACAATGTTTCCCGATCATGTTAGACAACTGATCTCGCGATGATCATCATTTAGGCTAGCGCAGGTGCCTCGCTCACTTTCCCTATGCAATGTTCTGCGCTCCGCAAAAACGGTCACGTTGTCATAAAAGGTGCGCTAGACTGTATCTTCCCTGCACTGCCGGCCCGACAACCTCATTCCAGGTCGTCCCTGCAAGATCGTTGAGATGTCCACCTCTAAGACCGGGAAACACGGTCACGCGAAGGTCCATCTCGTCGGTGTCGACGTGCGTCTATGTTCCACTAAACCTACGAATTGCTGCTTCAATTTCCGATCACACAGATCTTCACTGACAAAAAGATGGTAAATTATCAATAGTTGACTTGGTCATAAGTGCTACCGCTTACGGCCTCCGTATCGTCTTTTTTATAGGAAGATATTTCCCCTTCCACCCACAACATGGACGTTCCCAACGTGAACCGTACTGAGTACCAGCTCGTGAGTATGCCGTTTACCTTCGTCTCCTGTGGTTACTCAAACCACCAGTAGCTCGGTGTCGACGACGGCTTCCTCAATCTCATGAACACTGACGGAGGTACTAAGGATGATGTCAAGCTTCCTGAAAGCAAGCTTGGTGAGGAGATCTTAGCTGGCTTCGAAGTCGCAGACACCGTTATGGTAACAGTCACCGCTGCGATGGGTGAGGAGCAAGTACGTTCATCATGCAGCGCCCTTGCAGTTCTCCGATTCTTAATACACGTTCCAGGTTACATCTTTCAAGGTCTCCAATCAGTAAACGTATGTCTTTGCTTTGGCCATATCCTCTGTTCGCGATTTTCACACAGCTTGTTATCAAGGTCTTTCACTTCTGATTGTCGCACACGTCCTGTCATTTTTCTGTCACGTCAGCTATTCTTACTTTCAGTCAATATCTGCGCATGTACTTTCATCAAGGCATTGTACTGAATGTACATCAGTATGACTAGGTTCCGATGTTGGAATAAAGAATTATGTATTTCATGTTGTAGACAGGAGGCATTTATGGAGGAGATCGCAGCAAACCACGTCCAGATAGTAAGAATTAGTACCCTTGCACCCTTGCATGCTCCGGTCGCCCACAATAGTTCTTTCCCCTTACTAATACTATCGCCAACACGGCAGTCCAGCATTCTATCTGCTGTGCATGAGACGTGCAACTTGACCTGGCGTGAGGCAGACGTGACTGGCACCCTAGTCGGCATCCGTAGTTTTCAGCAAGCAAAAATTGTTTATTATTTTCTGTATTTTATTTCTATATTATAAATATAAGCTTTATTTATAGGTTGTTTGGTTGAGCATCATTCCTGAAAGTGCACAGGACTCGGTATTTTGATTCTTTACCTTGGACAGTGACCACTTGGTGACCACGACAAGTAATATCACCCACACGGACAGGCCTCGACTTACTAACGATTTCTTGAACATGACCAGCTCCAAGGAAAATCCAGATTCTGACCTCTACGGAGGTGAGCATTGTTGCATGTCACCGGCTCTAGGGCAACTACTTACATTCTACAGACCTGTACGATGACGAGTTTACTGTCCCACTGGATGATGAGGCCTCCCCTACCACAGAGGCTCCTCCGCAAGCAGACAAGAATCCTGAGCCTGTGAAAATGGAGATTTCAGCAACGACCATGTCGGCATCATCTCTACCTGCAAAACCTCAGTCTTCAAAAAACGACCCTTTGTCATATTCGGCGCAGGTTGCAAAGCAGTTCTCTGCGTACCAACAGACACCGAGCCAGGAGCGTATCCAGAAACCACCTTTGCCCCTCCCACCAAACCCGAGTGCACAAGGTGGGCCTTCGGCAATAGCAACGCACGAAGGACCGACCGACAGTCATGCGGACAGGCCTATCCGACCTTCAGAAATGAAAGACGAAGGGTAAGTACATGCTTACCACATGTATGGTTATTTGTCCCCGTATTTTCTTGGGCGAAGCACTTCTAGACTCAGTCTCCGCTATGTCTTGCACGATAGTTTACCCTTGTCGTTCTTTCATGAAAGATGAACGAATGGGAACCTGACAGTTACAGTACATGCTGCTGCACTGCTACTACTGCTTACAGTCGAGCTTACTATCTGCACCTACACTCTGCGCATCGCCTATGCTTCTGTCTTTCATACTCTCATGGCTACTTGCTATAATTGGTCACTAATCACTTATATCTTTCTGGATACTTCCTTGGACCCATCGACACGCTCTACTCTTACTACATGCCTCACCTACGGATCCTTGCCTCACTTACGGTCGTCACCTCCGATAGCAAAATGTTTATTGGCGGCCTTAACTGGGACACTACAGATGGTATACACCCATGCAATGACAATCAACTTCTATTTACTGACTACTATCCTATGTTGTCCTTCCTATGAGCAGAGGGTCTGAGGACGTATTTTTCCCAGTTTGGCAAGGTAATTTATTTTTGGATTAAAGCTGTCGATGAATGTTGTGCTCGGGTTATGATGCTGATGAGCATTTAAGGTGGATGCTTGTACCATTATGCGTGACCCGGATGGCCGTTCAAGGGGCTTCGCTTTCTTGACCTTCGAAGAACCGGAAAGCGTGAATGCTGTCACCGGAAGGGAGCATAATTTGGACGGGAAAGCTGTCAGTGTATCCGTCTTGCAATTTTTTTCAATCTCACTAACGTAGCCGATAGATTGACCCGAAACGCGCGATTCCCAGAGAAGAGCACCTCAGAAACACGCGGTACTTTGTTGGTGGTCTCGCTCCCACCACCAATGCAGACACAATGCGCGAGTTTTTCTCGCGGTTTGGCAAAGTCGTCGATGCGACAGTCATGGTCGATCGCGAGTCGGGCCGTTCCAAAGGCTTTGGCTTTGTAACTTTTGAGGATTCAAATAATTCTGATGAGTTTGTGGGAAAACTCGGGTTGATGTTGGATGATAAGCAGGTACGTATGGATGCGTTTACCGAACACATTTTCCTCTCAACATATCGACAGATTGAAGTGAAAGCTGCTCAACCTCGAAGCCAGCGCGATCAGGCGCGAAACATGCAACAGGGTAGCCGCGAGCCCTATTTCAACGACTCCGAATCACGCACGCCCAACACGTCCGCGATGGCTTTCCCACAACAGCCCAACTCCGCAGCCACCAACATGCTTTATCAGCGTGTGATGAGTCAAATGCCCATGATGGGAGCAGCGAACATGGGTATGATGAACCCCATGATGATGGGCATGGGCATGGGTGGCATGGGAGGTATGAATGGTATGGGCGGTATGGGCGGTGTAGGTGGTATGGGCGGTATGGGTGGTATGGGCGGCATGGGGATGAACATGATGGCGGGTATAAGTCCAATGGGTGGTATGGGTATGAACGCCATGCGGATGGGAATGCCAGGGATGGGGATGATGAACACTACGGGCGCAGGTGTAGGAATGGGGATGAACAACATGGGGATGCGCATGCGGCAGGGCATGACTGGCGCTGTTACCCCGAACGCGAATGCAGGACGCATGCCAATGAACCAGGGACTGGGTCCATCGAGAATGTCGAGTCGTGGACAGCATTCATTCCATCCATATGCACGATAGTTTTTATTTGCTTTGCATCTGCTGATCTGTACCATATATCACCACTAGTTATTTAAACATGCATCATGATGATCAGTGCATGATAATGTTGTGTCTACTACGTACTACAGAAAATACCATACAAGAGCATCAGAATATGCAGTGACCCGTCATATCCTCTCCTGGATATATGCAGAATTGTCCGCGTCATAGGTCGACCCTGATTCTAATATACTCACACTTTCACCTCGTAATTTGAACATTTCAGTTGAATTTGTCTCCGTAGTTGAACCCGAGTATACATCTGGCTGAGACAAGCAAAAAAACTTCAGCAATTACGTATCGTCACATCCACCCTCTCATCTTCGCTACTAGCACTAACACCTGATCTCCAGGTAATTTCTCTCCAACCACCCGACTTCCTTCCTCGTCGTTCATCCCCACATACTCTTTCCACCTATCCAATTCCTCATACTCAACATTGAGTGCCCTCACAATATTCGACAAATAACCAAGATCCGATGAGAGCTGTGCAGCTCCTGCGATGGAAAGCGTACGGATCTTCGGCAGGACGCTGCTGGTAAGGTGGGATAGAATAGAATGTCCGAGGGAGGACAGCCAGGCTGCTGCAACTGCCTCCGGGCTCAGCACTACCGGCTTGGGGGGTAAGATGAGTGAAGGTCGTCGGTTGTGCCCAAGTTCAGAGGATTGGGCATGCATATGTTCACTCAGGCCACTCAGATAGGCTTCATCGACATTCGGGAGCGTGTTAAGCGAGAAGCCTAGTGCATCGTCGTCTGCATATACCTCAAACAGCCGTGGCAGATTCAACAGCCCCTCTGCAACGCGTTGAACGATATCGCTGGGGGAAAGCGAAAACACAGGTACGTGCAGATCGCCGGTCGTGCGCATAGACTTTGGATCACCCGGTACCGCCCAGAGAGCAAGGGATGCATAGGATGAGAGATGTGTATGTAAGGGGGAAAGAAGGGTGTGCTGCAGGGATGACTGAAGGGCTCTGGCGAGGGACGCAATGGATGTCCGCGTTGTAGTGAGTAGTGGAACAGGGGGTTGGGATTCTGCGGATGATAAGAGATCGTGCAAAGCTGCGCTGTTCAGGGAAGACTGCGCCAGGAGCAAACCAGCACCTTTGGTTGCACCAGGTGTATACACCCCGCCTTCGTGCTGCGCCAGTCGGAATGCTGTAGCAATCTGCACGAGTGCAGCTCGCAGCTTACCCTCAAAAGTGCCGAGCCGATCAAGCACCGCTCGTGTAGACGCGAGGAGGTGCAAGATGAGTTGAATGTTGCTCCAGTCCTGCGGGGAGTAATCCAGATCTGCAAGGTCGTCTCCGGATTCTGCTGGGGCACCCGAAGGGGCAGAAAGATTCGCAGTCAGCGATTGGGTCCAGGAGTCAACAAACGAAGCAAGAGAGGAGTCCAACGCGAACATGAGTCCTGGAGCAGCATATCCATATGTGAAGGACATGCAGCGTACGAGGCTGTCCTCTGCAGCACTAAACACATCGACCGCGCGCTCGCGAAGAAGGCGAGCCGGGTCAGTGCTTGGGTTCTTGTTAGGGGTGAGTGTGGAGGCAAAAGATAGGTCATCAGAAAGGAGGCGCCGCTCCAGTGTCCCATAGTCGACTTGGAAATCTAGAAACGCCTGAAAGAGTGCTTGGTCCCAATCAAGTACATCATTGAGTGTGGACTGTTGCGCTCGTGAAAAATTCGTGGCTGAATTTGACCGCCAGGACATGGACATACGCGTGGAGCGGCGGCGGGTGTGCTTTGGAGGCAAAGGGCCATCCAAAGTACTGTCCATGGGGATAACAGAGAACTGTATTTTCTCCATGATTTTGTCTGTGCTCCCCGCGAACTCTTCTGTCGTTTTGTAGATAGCTATGATATCCTTGAGAGCAGATGAACCGGTGATGTTGAAGAGGGACGCAAGGCGCTGTGGACATGAAGGCTGTAGGATGGACAGAGTGGAAGTGATGAATGTTGAGAGCGTGATTTGAGGATCAGGAAAGATAGCAGGAATAGACGTGCGCTCTGCATTGAGGACGGCCAGGAAACTGGCGCAAAAAGTTGCCCAGAAGGCGCTGAACGTCTGTCTCGGCACCGCAGGCACTGACAGTTCCGTATCTTCCAGGACCTCGCTCTGCCACGAAGCAACCAGCCCTGCTCTCCGAGAGCCGAAGTAATAGTTCCTGAACTCACTCTCCCTCTGTATGTTAGAAAATATTCCATAAAAGCTCCTACAAAGCGCCGTATCGCCCGAGTTGATTGCACCGACCAATGCGGAACTGAGGGCAGCCTCGAGTTGGTTTTGGAGGGATACCATCAACGCACGACGAGGCTCATACTCCGGAGTTCCCGCAAACACAGGCATACTTCTGCTAGCCTCGCTCAATCTCTCGGCAGCCTTGTCATATGCACGCTCCGCTAGCAACGCAGTGACCTCAGCCTCTAAGCTGGACCACGACTCTGCCTCACGTAGCACATCCCTCACAGCCTCCATCCGTCGTTTGGCAGTGTCAAGAGTCTGCAACCTGTCGAGAGCAGCAGAAGTGCCCGTTCCAGCTGGGATACGGGCAGTGACGGTGGCGAGAGCAGAGTGTAGGGTGAGGGCACCGTCACGCATGAAATGCAGGTCATACGTGAGACGAGGAGCGCTGCGTGACACCTCGTCGATTGTGCGTTCGAGTGCAGCTGAAGTTGTTATTGCTGAGAGGTCCGTGGCGGTCAGCAGGTCCGCCAGCAGCGACTCAAGAGAAGCAAGCGGAACATGATTGTCTTGTGGTGTAAGTGTGTCGTTGAGCCATGTGAGTACGTCGGGTGCGTCATCTAGCTCTTGCACAAGTGCAGACGCTGATGTGGAAGTCATATACGCTGTCTATTATAATTGTTGTTTGCACTGACGGTGATGGAGATGTAAGGCTCACGGAAGTCGTCAGCTAGACGTCCGTGGACCGAAACGCCGCAACCCACTTTCAAGCTTCAAGTGGTAATACGAATACAGGATTGTGACACACTGCTCGTCAACAAAAACAATTCCAAAAACACATAAATAGCAGGGTTGGATGTTTGACTACTACAGAAGTTAACGTACAAATTGGTTGAACATGATGGAATGAAGAACAGAATAAAATGGACAGCTCCTCCCACAAGTACTTCAAATGAAGCTTGTAATAGGACCACAATTATCAAAAGACGCTAATGAACCCCATTTGCAGCAATAGTCACCCTACCCTCCCGCAGATGCTGCGCCGTGCGCTCAGCAGCCGCATCATATACATACTGCGTGGGCTGTCTTCGAGGCCACATTGCATTAGCGTTATCCCCGCCGCGGACCTCCTCATCCGACTCAAATACAACCGATCCACGCCTTGGCTCGTAGTACAAATCACTCGAGTCGTGTTGTTCTATATCAATGTATCAGTAAACTATGATTTCGTTATCAATCAAATGAGAACATAACACACCATCATCGACTTCTTCCACGACCCTCCTCTTCCCGAGCGCCTTCGCGCTCGGTCGCATAGGAGATTTAGTTTCTTCTTCCTCCACATCGTTTTCGTCCACGTGTAACCGGTCCAAAGCACCACCCATATTTTCCAGAGAGTTCCCTCTTGATGGGCGCACGAGGCCACCTCTATCTGGCGAGGGCGGGCGTGACGGGAATGCAGGAGAACGAGGACCCATGGGGGGAGGTGGCGGTGCGAGCAATGTTGGTGTGCTCATGGACTGTGGTAGAGAACCGTATTGCGGATGGCCAGGGGAGAGCGCAGGAGGGACCCGAGGAAGTGGGTGGGTTTGTGAGGGAATAACGGGAGGTAGGTCGTGTTGGCGGGGCGAAGCAGGCGGTGATGGCATTGGTGACGGTGTGCGTGAGGAGCCGCCTCCATAATCATGATGGGATTCTCTGAGGTACTCATTTTCCACGTGCTATAGCAAATATCAGTCTTGTTCAAGGGGATACAGAGCAGAAAACAGAATAATGATTTGACAGACCGAATGATTGGTGCAGGCAAAAATAAGAAGAAACACTCACTCTTCGGTCCATCTTCACATCCCTCCGACTAATCTCAACAGCCGCCTGCTCCTCCGCAAGCCGCACAACATCATCGTACATTCTCAACGCCCCAAAAAGTGCCTCATTCGCATCAAGCAACGCACCAAGAAGCTCCTCCTCTGAAGTTTGTTTCTCTCCCTCTGTAATAGAAAATTGAGTATCCATACCATGGTAATCTCGACTTGGCGGAGAACTGAATTGGATGTCAGGCTGCGATTTCGTACGTCCATTTCCTTCTGCATTCTTTTCTCGGTCATTGCGCGACCGTTCAGCTCCAGCAGATGCCCATGGAATTTGGGTATATATGAGTTCTTGCGACGCGCGGCACTTTGTCAAAAATTCCTATGGACCAGTCAGATTGATATTGACAAGATCGGGGTATGTGAGCCATGATATGCCATGGAGAGGTAATGCAGCAGACTGGCAAAATGGAGATCAAGGTTAACTGAGAAATCACACGCACCGGTATTAGGCTCCCTTCTATCTGTTCCGGTTTCGTGTATGCAAGCATCTCGCTAAGGAAAGTCGCATTTCCTTTCGCGATCTTGCATTCCTGGAATAAGCGCTTCATGTCTTCTTCGGGAGGAATGACACCGCGTTGGAGATTTTTCTTCGACGGCCGCTAATCGCGACAAGACGTTACCCGGACGAACGAACAAAAAATAGAGCAGGAGAATTGATCAGGGCACTCGCCATAATCTGCAAAGCAAAAAAGGCACTAACCTCCTCTATTGGTGGACGCGTAGGAACTATAGGGGGGCTAAACATAGCATCCTCGGTGTCAAACGGAATCCCCACGTCAGGCTTATCGGCGGGTTTCAACCGCGTCCACAGGGCACGAAAACCATCCCTATCGCGGTCGCGATCTTTAAGCGAGAAAGGGGATGGTTCAGATTTGGGCGAGGGGTGGGGACCTATAAAGGACCACCAGGAGGTTGGGTCAGTATCACGAAAAGAACGCAGGTTCGGATTAGCACATGACTCAGTGCTCAGAACCGATGGAGACAGGTATTGTGGAGTGACGAACACGTACGTGAGCTAGTGATGAAAGCGGCGGCTGCAAGCACCTCCATTAGTCGTTCTCTGACGACAGGACTTGTTCTTGAGCTTGTCAACACGTCCTCGAGGGTGTCGATGAATTTACGGGAGCTGATCTGAGTTAGAAAGATATCGGACGCGTTGCGGAGCATTATTGCCCATAACTGTATAGAGCATAATGCAAATTGGATGGAAAACAGCCGAGTATGCGTTTTCCAAGATGAGAGATCAAGGCCAAAGCAACGAGTCTAGTGGTGCTTACCCTAGCAGCAGATAACTGAGATTTAGGCTCTGCATATCTGTATCCCAGATACCCTGTCAATGGTATAGAGAGCGAGTTTGGGCTATGGAACGCACTTGAATTCCCTCCGAAGGGCTTTCATAGCTTCCTTTGCATTCGCTTCAGTAGCAGACGCGCGCTCGCAGACCTCGAGCACGAGGGACCAGTCCTCCGATGAGGTAGCCGTAAGGTACCCTACGCTGGTATAAATCCCTGAAAAGACACGATATCGGCTGAAGTGACGCACCGATCATGCGTGTCAGCTCTGAGGGATTATCTTCTTCGCGCCAAAGACGATCTCGTCCCTCTTTGTCCTTTTCTCTTTCCTTTTCCTTTTCCTTCTCACGAGTTTCACGCTCTTTATCACGTCCGCGTTCCTTGTCTTTGTCCCTGTCCCTGATAATCCCGTCCCAAAAGCTCTTCCTCTCCTTCTTCTCTGCCCTGTCCCTGTGATCAACTGGAAAATAATCGTCTGGTATTGTTTCGTGGGCATGATGCGGGTGTGATTGTTGCAGGGCATGCTCCAGATGTGGATCGAGCGACTTCAGTATACCAAGTGCAGCAGGCCCAGGCTGTGTCTTCTGGATCTTCCGTCCGTCTCTCCGCACGGTATGGGTTGGGTTTGGGTTAGTCTGGGGGGCGGGTGTGGGCGTAGGTGTAGTGGTGGTGTGACTTGTAACGCTGTATGGACTACTGGAACGTGCGGGTAATATTACAGGTGGAATAGAAGCTAGGGAAGACGAGCGGCTCGGTGACATCGGAGGCACTGCAAACTGAGGATACGGACTAGAAGGGACAGGGGGCTCAGATAGCACCTCCCAGTCACGGTGGTCCTCTGAGGGCCGTTTGGGGCGCACAAGTAGTGCGTCCTATACACATGCATCAAAATTCAGGTTAGTGATGATCCAAGTCATGACATAGATGGTTGTTGCCAAAAGTAAGTTGAAGATCAAGACTCACATCGTCGATAACAACATCAACATCTCTGTGTGAGGTTATCCTTTGCTGCTTCACCTTGTCACGTCCAAAGAGTTTCTTCATTGGTAGGATAGAAAGAAAGAAAAGAGCTGGGAGTAGATAGATGAGGCACAAGCTTCAGTCACTTACACATGAGGCTGTGTATCACAGCTACTGTCATCACGTGATAAGTCATATCCTCGTCGCGAGCGATATTCAATTCCCGACAGCGTCGGTCAACGCAGCTCTTGGCACACACAGCCACTCGAGACTTGCTGTGGAGACTAATAGAATATTTCGCATCTGTTGCGATCTTGTAGGATATGTCAAGAATATTGATATCATATTTCAATCGAGTTCCACTGGTACGACAAAATCGGTTGCATTCAGGTGAATTATACTACAATCTACTGATACAAATGCTTCAACCCACGATCAGAAAACACGACATGGGATGATAGGGACAGCGATGCAAAACACGATAGTGGGGAAGCGATACAACAGCAAGCACAAAGCAGCAACAAGGAAGGCAAATAAAGGATATGCAAGACGAGAGGATCCAATATCCAATGACGAAACAACATGATGAGCAATAATGAGATGGCGAGGAAAGTGGCAGTACGGAACGAGGGGAAGCTAGTGTTATCGATAATGTCGCTGTTCTTCGTTGACAGCCCTTCCCGTTCCTATATATTTATTAGACTAGACAACATAAAGAAGAGTTCCACTTACTGAGCATGCAACCTTTATTTCACATGACTGCAGATATACCTTGATTTTCCCTGCGCTCAGTAAGAGTGTGTACTTACCATCTGTTTTGACCTGGTCGCATTTTTACTGCATTCTTAATGATGTATGCGGTGATAACATACCTAAATCAAAGATTCATACAATCCGCTGAGGAAGTTGGCGACAGTAGGAGGATGGCGACTTAGCGGGAAGATGATGGTTATGAAGAGAAGTAAAAAGATATGATTGCCCCAACGAATTATAACTTTTGGGTTAATGATGCCAGAAACTTTGCGTAGCCGCTGTGCGATGTATGTGATGCAGCACGATGTGAAGTAGCCGATGAATTGATGTAAAATTGCATAGCAGAAGTGCCTGCAGCACACGTGCGTGTGAGCGCTCGAGTCTATGCTAACAAGTGCCCCCTCGGTGGTAATGACGTCTAGATTGCAATATAATGGTATTACCAAAACTTGACTCACTACCTGACAAACAGACGCTTCCCTCGCACTGGTCGCGCACTGCCCACACGTCCAGTCTCTGCCTGATACATCCGGTACGCTTCACGAAGGTGATCTGGCGTGAGGGGGCCAGAATCATTGCGCCGTGATTGAACCTGGCGAGCTAAATACAAGATAAATGAGAACACGCAAGACTGGGTGCGCAAATAGAAAAACGTACCTTTTTCTACGATCTCGCCAACAAACACTTTCCCAACACCTGCTACTATTTGTGCAACGGGCTGAGAGACTTGCTGTCCTGTCGTTTGTTGTATAACCTATCCATAGTATTGTAAGTGAGGCTGTAATATCATTACCGCGAGCTCGCACCTTCCGTATAGCCTGCTTCGGTAGTGCATGGCGTCGATAGGCTTCAAAGCGTTCATACTGTGCCGGACTGAAATTGTCCATAAGCACCCTGACCGATTTAATAAGCAGGTGTACTATCAAACAAAATACCACAACTTACTTCAGATTATCCTTGCTCTCGCTCTGCCATGACAACTGCGCAGAGTAGTCATCATCCGCCATTGCAGGTAAAAGCTCGTCTTCACCCTCTACGTCCTCATCCGGAGCACCCGCAGGTTTCGTGGCCGTCCCAGACGGTGGAATTATCGTATCTGTCGAAGAAACAGCAGCAGTAACGGGCAGAGGCTGCGTCGCCACAGGTTCATCATCCCCACTGTCCATCGAGACATCACCAGCATTTGCAGCACTGTTTTGAGCAGCAGGAATTGTCACAGTAGAGGTCGAGGCAGTGGCAGTGGCACCCGCAGGGACTCCAGGCGTCGCCCACTGGGCCGGGGTGAATCGTGTTGCAGACGTAGATGTGCTGGGTCCGGATTGTGGTGGAGGGCGAGTATCGGTGGACGCATTTGGTAATGCACCGCGAGGCTTACGGCCGCGTTTTGCACCTGTTCCACGACCGCGTGTTGGCGCTGGCGCTAGACTTGGCGTTACTGGTGTACTAGGCGTCATTTGAATGAACGAGGTTGGCGTGTACGGCGTAGTCATCGTTGATCTGCAAGGTAAGGTCGATATCAATATTATTGTCTTTAGTGCCACTAAGTGCAGGAGAATGAGGTACAACCCAAACGATCCAAAACAACGACAGAGAGTTGCCATGTGACTTAGACAATACGGTCACATGACAATGTGTCTTCTGACTCTTCTCCGTCGCCTCCCATCTTCCTCGACAGTCGTTAACGTTGGCCCCCCGCATGGTGTGCTACTGTAACACTGCGATTTTGTGTGATTAGAAGGTACAATCAAACTTTTCAGCATACCTTTGACTGACATTCTCATCTAGAAACACTACTACTATTTGTCATATGATGATGATATTGCCTTGGATCATCGCGATCGTCTTTCGTGTAAGTCTTTGTTTACTCGTTCCTCCTTCAAGTTCTACTTGGAACTTTCCATCACCTTCCCGAGTTGACCAGCCTTCTGTAGGTGAACCAACTCGGTAGGTTGCGCACGTCCGGACAAGCCTTTTGTAGGTGATCCGGATGTTCAGTGTGTGACATACTCATACTCCGAGTCCCTTCACTTTTTGAATCTGACTTGGGGCCATTTTTTTAATGCTAATATTCGTTTCAACCACTTCAGCAGGAATCTGTTGGCTGGACCCAGTGTCCCATTCTTGGAGGGATGTCCAGCAACGAATGCCGTCAAACGCTGAACAAGCATTTTTGACGACGGCGAAACAAATAAAAGATAACGCCAGCGAACAGGTTCGAACTACCGGATTTTCTTTCCTTGTTTGTCCAACATGTTGGCGTTCTCGACAGTCTCGAGGTACCCAGCTGCGGTTCCTTGAGTCTGATGGCATCAAAAACCGTATACGAGTCGCCACCGAATCTGATCTTATGTTGTCTCCACTGCATCGTACAGTGTTTTATATCGGTAGATGTAACTGCTATATCATATTTCGAGCCCACGCCTGTTCTCACATATCACGGTTAGAATAATGTAGTATCTGAATGGGCACCCGACTACACCGACGAGGGTGCTCTCCAACGAAGACCAGCAGTAAGACCAGCCCACCTCCAGAACGTCAAGATAAAAGCCTGCTTGCTGAGACTCTACTCGAGCTCTTCAATCCACACTCAATCTCAACTACTAGTACACTTCGTGTTTTAAAAATCCGAAACAATGTCACCCCGACCCTTCGTCAGGAATTTGACCTTCCAGTCGTGAGTGTCGGTGATCTCGACCCAACGTTTCGCAGCAACGGCCTCGGCAAGGAGGTCACGATCATGCTCGCCTGGAGTCCCAACCCGGACGGCCTCTATGAAGACTTCTTCCCGATAGTTTGGAAGTAAGTGTGTCTACTTCTGTTAGGGACTATTTAAAACTTTGAGATTGTTTCAGCGTCAGCAAATTCGGGAAGTCGGGTGGGTGTTCCTATTCTCTTGCTGCCAAATTGCCGACTTACATATGAGCCCTCTTTCCAGGTCCATACTGGGCTACCGCGACCTACACGGCCTAGTAAGATGATCGGCAAGATCAATAGTCTTGAAAGTCGCTTATATATGTTGTATAGGCTTGCTTTCTCCAGAGCCCAGGTCGGGAGTGGGAAGGTCATCAGCGCTGCGACCTCCGTCAATATCAATGTGAGCGACTCTCATCTACTCCGAAATTGCTAGCACCAATGCAAGCCATAATGCAGAACAGTAAGAAAACAATCTTGACAGAAGCCCACGATGTCTATCATGTCTCTGTAAGTCTGGCTTCCGTTGATTTTCATCTCGACCACCGATGAATACCTCGTGCAGCTCAGGCGGGAATTTCAGCGATGTTGGGTATGTCATCTTTCCTGTATTTCTCCTTCAGAGCGTTCATAACACAATGCAGAGATGGCAGTCGCGTCATGGCAAAGTTCACGGGGTTCGGAATAGTCAATCTGTTCAGCAACAGCAGTCGAGGCCTGTGTATTCAATCGCTATGCAGTATATACATGGCTGGCAGCATCATCATGGAAGGACCCGTCCTTCCCCAGCTTGACGAATTGCAGATGCCTGAGATCGTTTCACGGCTCCAGGTCCTCGCTCGTTCGTCACCTGAAGACAAGAAGATACTGACGGAGAAGCTTTGTGCACTCAGGGAGATCGTTGCCGTCACTGGCGATGGTACGAATGACGGACCTACTCTCAAAACAGCGCACGTAGGATTCTCCATGGGCATAGCAGAGACAGAAGTAGCAAAGAGGCGTCCAACATCATTCTGATGGACGACAACCTCTCTTTTATCGTCAAGGCAATCATGTGGGGTCGTTGCATGAACGACGCAGTTTGGAAATTCCTACAGTTCCAGATCTCCACAACATTACTGCTGTGGTGATCACTTCTGTGACCGCCATCGCTTCTAGTTCTGAGACGTTGGCACTGTCAGCTGTTCAGATGTTGTGGATCAATATCATCATGGACACATTCACTGCGCTTGCGCTTGCCACGGACCCTGCATCGCTGGTGTTACTCAACTGGACATCTGATAAGCAGATGGCACCACTTTTCACTGTGAACATGTACAAACAGATCTTGTTGCAGTCCGTCTACCAGATCACCGTCATCCTACTATTCCACTTCCATGGCACCCAGATCCTGGGCTTTACCGAGACGTCGGGCAATGACATCATTGTACAGACGCTCGTCTTCAATGCGTTCGTTTTTGCTCAGATATTCAACTCGGTGAATTTGGTCGCCCTTGGCTTCGTATCCACGTATCCATCCCTCTCGGCCTGATCATCCGCCTGCTGCCTAACGGACCCTTTGAACGCCTCTTCATCCTAATGCGCTTACTGCCCAACCGCCAAGGTGGTCTTCCAAAAGTTGGCCCAGAGGTTGAATGGAACTCTGCAATTGAACTTGTACGTGATAATCTTGCCACATTTGCTAATCTGCGGGGCGGGCAACTTTGTTCGTCTTCATTCGTCATCAAGAGTCGTCAGGCTAGACTACACGATGACAAACGTATTCCTCTGTATATACTTGTGTTTTGTTTGGCAGATGGTATCCTTAATTTTTTCTAGCCTTTCGTTGATGACCATGGTCCTGATGCTTATTGCATCTTCCATTGGGGCTCGCTGGGCACCACAATCACGCGGTACTCACTCTTGTGCTCAGTATGTAGTTGAAATTCAATGTGATGCTTTACTAGTGTAGTCTATGTGTTACAACAGTGCGGGACCCAGGTCAATCAAAATTGAGGACCAAGTGAATTTTAAAACACGGAGTGACATCATACCCTCTGAAATTTCGGAACTGTCTCACACCAATTACCTCGGTCTTGTGTTTTACCTTCCACATGGCACGATCAAAGAAGGGGGCATCGGACGTCAAGAAGCCAGGGTGGAGGAAAGAATCAGCTACCCCGAAGTCAGCTTTGGCTGACATCCAGAAATGCAAGGAACTTGGAATTGAAACACACCTCCAAGCAAACAAGACAAGGAGCAGCTATGCTGGCGATGTACTTCGGGGATGCGAGTGACTTGTGAGCCATTTTGATGCACCAAGCTGCTCCCGCTGACGAGGGGGACTGCCGCATCAGTGCCCAAAGAGCCTTTGATCGAGCCAGTGGCACGGCCCAATGAACATCTAACGCTGTTGAGCCCAAATTCCAGGATGTGTAACATCAACCTTTTCTGGGCCCAAGGAGTAAAGTCAAAAGGCCGGTAGCCAAGCCTGACTTTCTCTACACTGCACTGTCACGCACAGAATAAAAATCGTACAGAAAGTGGTGGCAGCGATGAATGGTGGTCGAATGCCTTTCTGTAGTCAAACTTATCCGCGTAGATAGTTAACGTCGACAACATGGCATAGCACAAACTCTACAGATAGACGGGTATGAAACTGAGTTGTTCCGAGCGTGACGACTTGAAAGAAGCCGGAACGTAGACGATCGTGAGTGCCAAGTGGCCATACCAAATAAACATGGAATCAGTGATTTTTGGAACTCGACGTTGTCATTCTTGTCAAATACGCATCACTCCTCACTTAGCGATGGCTCTTGTTACGCGCAGTTTCGAATGACTGCAACTTCATGATACCATCGACTGGGTTCGACCTGTACATAACTTTGTCCTTGATAAATAATGATGATATTGGGGATGGCGTACGCAAGGAGCCGTCTCCATAATCATGGTGAGATTGTCCGAGGTAGTCATTTTCGATGTGCTATACCAAATATCAGTCTCTGTCAGTCAGCAGGAACAGGGGAGAAAACATAATAACAAATTGACAGTACACGGAAGACAGAATGACTGACGCAGAGAAAAATAAGAGAAAAAACACTTACTCTTCGGTCCATCTTCACATCCCTCCTACTAATCTCAACAGCGACTCGCTCCTATACATTCTCAACACCAAGAACAGTTTTTCGTCAGGCAACGCACCAAAAGCTGCTTCTCTAAAGCCTGTTCCTCCCCCTCTGCATTATAGAATTTAACACCCATACCATGGTAATCTTTACACGACGGAGAACTGAATTAGATGTCAGACTGCGATTTCATACGTCCATTTCCTTGATGCCCATGGAAATTGGGTATATATAAGTTCTTGCGACCGTGGCACTTCCTATAGATCGATTAAATCGATACGAACAGGATGGGGGCAGGAGAGTCATGATGTGCCACGCAAAGGTGATGTGGCAGACTGACAGAATGGAGATCAGGGTTAACTGAGAAATCACACGCACCGGTATTACGCTCCCTTCTGTCTGTTCCGGTTTCCTGTATGGAAGCATCTCGCTAAGGACGGTCGCAATTGCTCTCGCGATTTTGCATTCTTGGAATAGCGCTTCATGCCTTCTTTGGGATGGATGACATCGGGCGCGCTGGTGGAGATTCTTCCGCTAATCGCTACAAGGCGCCATCGGGAAACAGCGAACAGAATATAGGTGCCATCATAAACCACAAACCACAAAAGCTGTTCTCCTCTATCAGTGGACACATAGTAACTATACGGGAGTCAAACATAGCATCCTCGGTGTCAAACGGGATCACCGCATCAAGCTTATCAGCAGGTTTCAATCGCATCCATAGGGTACGGAAACCATCCTTATCATGGTTGCGAGCTTTAAGCGAGGAAGTTCAGGTTAGAGCGAGGGCAAGGACCTGTCAAGAAGGGCCGCCAACAGGTCGGGTCAGTATCGCGAAAAGAACCCAGGTTCGGATGAAGATATGGTTCAGCGCTCAGAATCGATGGAGGCGAGTTTAAAAAAGGGGTTGTAGAGTAAGCAGTAGATCTAGGAGATGTTGCGAAAGATGTTCAGTAAATGGGGATAATTGATAATAAATTTAGCAAACCGATATCGATGAACACGTATGTGAGCTAGTGTTAGTATGAAGGCGGAGACTTCGTTCCCCGACAATAGAACTTGTTCTTGAGCTTGTGATGAATTTACGGGAGCGGATCTGAGTTAGAAAGATATCGGACGCGTTGCGGGATATTCTTGTCCATAATTGTGCAAACCATAATGCAAATTGGACGGAGAACGGACGAGTAGGCGTTTGCGAAGGTGAGAGATAAGGACAAAGCAACGGTCTTTACCTGATAATTGAGTTTTCGCTCTGCATATCTGTATCCCAGATACCCTGACAATAGTATAGAAAGCGAGGTTTGGCTATGAAACGTACTTGAATTCCCTCCAGAGGGCGCTCATGATCTCCTTAGCATTCGCTTCAGTAGCAGACCCCGCAGACCTCAAGCATGGGCTCCGATGAGGTAGCCGTAAGGTACCCTACGTCAGTATAGTAGATCCCCGCACATCAAATACACGGCCCATCGGCGGAAACGACGCACCAATCATGCGCGTCAGGTCCGCGAGATTATCTTCCTCGCGTCAAAGGCAAAGCCGCTCTCGCCTCTCTTTGTCGTTTTGTCATTCCTTCTCACGAGTTTCAAGCCCTTTGTCCGCGCTCGTCGTCGTCTTCGTCCCTGTCCCTGATGATCTCATCCCATAAATTCTTCCTCTCCTATTTCTCTGCCCTGTCTGTGAGAAAGAATGTCTTGTGAACATAATGCGGGTGTGGTTGTCACAGGGCACGCTTCAGATGGACTTCAGTGCACCAAGTGCAGTAGGCGCAGGTGCGTCCTATAAATGTACATTGAAGTTCGGGTCAAGTTCGGGTTAGTGATAATTCAAATTATGACAGACGAGCCAACAATAAGTTAAAGATCGAGACCTACTAATCGTCAATGACAAAATCAAAATCTCTGTGCGAAATTCCCCTTCGCTGCTTCGCTTTGTCGCGTCCAAAAAGTTTCTTCGTCGGGAGGATGTGGATGAGTGACCGCTAGTAGCTTACGTAAATCACACTGGCGTGCTGTAAATAATATTAATATTCACATATAGCGCCATATCTCTGAATCACAAGAGCGATCCTAACATCAGCTTGGCATACATAATGCTGGTAGCCAATTTAAATGCTAACAGGCGACTCCCCGACCGGAGTGACCTCGTTAAAAATAACACTAGCAGCAGCTTCCAACGCATCACTAGTGTACTCGAAGCTTGCCACGCATGCTTGGACACCCAAGACCCTCCCAGAAAATAATTCATACGGCGCGCAGCTCGCCAGGACCACAATCGATACCCCACTGGCCTGCATCCTGACGCTCTCCAAGACATCCAGTTGCCAAGCACTACGATCCGCGTTACGTGTGACGAATATGACACCCTCGCCGAAATCTCTTCTGCAGTCAAAATCAGCTGCATAAACCAAATGTTCGACATCTGCAGCGCGGCGTCGCACGGACTCCGCGAAAGACATGTAGTAAGGCGCCGCCGTGTTCCGGACGTGACCTTTCCCGCTGCGTTGCACACCTTCCGCATCATCCACCGCTGCATTAAGGCTTTCCACGACGGGTGTCATCACCACGATCTTGCCCGACGAAAACACAGGAAGAGATCCAGAAACAAGCGCGATAGATTTTGCGTATGCTTCCTCGCTCAGTTTCTTGTTCGTCGCCTGCAACGCATTCATGGCCTTCTCGTCAAATGGGTTTCCGAGCACATCATCCCATGTCCCAGCGAATTTCCGTTTCAATGCAGTGATCCTTTCTCCGCTTTTCCTTAGCTCGTCCATGTGCAGCTCACCCTTCTGTACTGCCTTGTAGGTCGCCTCCATCGCTCCCCTATGGAATGCCATATTATGGCAAATCATAACCACATCTGCACCCGCCGCTAACGCTTCCACAGCACCACGTGGTACGCCTCCCTGCCTCTCCTTCACCGCATTCATCTCCAGACAATCCGTCACGACGACCCCTTCAAAATGCAGCTCCTCCCGCAATAGGGTCGTAGTCACAGCCCGTGAAAGGGAGGCTGGAGTCTTATTGTCACCAGTCAAAGCCTGGATAACCATATGCCCCGTCATGATGCTGGCGACGCCAACGTTGGTAAGTTCTTTGAAAGGTTTTAACTCGGTTTCATCCAACTCGGCACGACTTTTGTTGATGATGGGGAGACCAAGATGCGAGTCAATGTTTGTATCACCGTGTCCTGGGAAATGTTTCGCAGACGGTGCGACACCACCTTGTGTGAGGCCATCGCTAACCGCCTTCGCAAATCGCGCAACCTCTGTAGGGTCTAATCACCGAAGCTTAGCAAAAGTTCTCCGAGTAGCTTTTGTCTCACCATCTCCAAAAGAGCGTACACCTCAAGGAAAGAGCACACAGGTCAAGACACCGTCGAGCACCGAAGTACCTGATACTTACCAATGACTGGGTTCCTTGGGTCAGAATTCACGTCTCCTACTGGAGAATAGGACCAATTAATGCCAACAGCTTTCATCTCACGAGCTGAAGCCGCCGAACAACTTCTGGCATATTCGGGATCACCGGTAGCAGCGATTGCCATAGCTCCTGGGCTGAAAAGTAATGAGACAAAAGAGGGTCAAGGAGACGCGACTTACAACTGTGTACCAGCCTGATGTTTTGCAGTCGAGCTGAACGCAGATACAAGGCCTGTGATCATAGCATTAGCCTGACGTGAAAGCGGACGCTGAGAAATGTACCATTCTCTTGATCAATCCCAATCATCAGCGGATGCATGTGTCCAGCATCTCTTGCGCACTGCTGCAAAGATTGAACAAGCGCGTGCACGTGCTTCACACCTGGGGAAATCATGATTCGCATAAGTGTGAATATTTCAACAAACATTGCGCCTCACTTTGCACATTCCGTTTCATGAGGATGATGTTCCTGATTACGATAACTCGTGAGTATAGAGTACATCCATGTGCGCTGTTGCATACCCAACATGATACTTGTTGATGAGTTCCTTTGCATCATCGCTGACCTCATATCCATGGAATCCAAAAACGAAGTGCTGGAGTGGTCCTCAGGATTTAGTCCGATCTGAGAGCGGCTTTCGGCGCACCTGACCGATCTCCCTCTTATCCTCATCTGAAAGATCCATGATGGTTGAGAACAAAGAGGTCTACCATATGGTCACCGGTGTCTAGACTCATCGTGATCACGTTTAAGTTGTCACGAGGTGACTTTTAACTTGGCCCATGTGATGTGCTTGAAAAGGCACTTCAACTACCATTTAGTTAGACCCACTGGCGCCAAGTACCAAGCCTTTTATGACGAACTAAGTTAATGTGGCCTGCCGCTCACTGCATGATACGTAGACTGCATGTATCCTTTCGGGGCCTCCCCAGATGGTACAGCTCTCATGCTGTACGCAGCTCGAATTTGAATTCTGAATCTCTGTGCGGTCTTCTCGCTTCTAATTTCGATTCATCCTAAAGACGCATTAGCATCACCGTACAGTAATCACTTTGACTCCTCTCAGCCTGGGCTTCTCGAACAGATGTTTGATAACTTACATTATTTAGAATTTGCCTTTATTGAACATAGCATTGATTTCCGTCGAAATGCCAGACGCTTGGATGCTATCAAAGATCGGCTCCACTGTTGGGTGGCATATTGAAATTGTCATGACGGTCCTGAGTGTATAATTAGGCAACGATTGAATTGAACGCAGCACACATGCCAGTGCGTGCATTTGGATTTAAATCATTGGCAAGTGATGCACTGACACGAGAACTCGACGCGGCAGTTTGGACAGAGACAGTGACTGGACCACTATTTGAGGTCATAGAAACAATACAAAAGGGCTCCATGCACGTTCGCAACTTGGCAGAATGATTGAAATTTAAATTGAGCAATTAAAGCGACGGAGATGACAAATCATAATATTAAGCAACATGTGACATCCTATGATGTCACTTGACAAAAACTTGCACACTGCCCAGCCTGAGGCGAATATGGAGGTCAGTTGCACATGTACTTTCTTTTAATTCCAAATACTGATAGGCACGTCTGGCTGCAGTCCAGTAATCGACCAACCAAAAGGCCTCGCCTACAAGGACCTGACGGCTTCCAGGTAACCAAGAATATCTCGAAACCCGCATACAAACCTCCACCGCCTTTCGTGTCTTCTTTTGATTCACCGAAGGCCGGGCCATCAACAAAGGTTCCTGATGACAAGCAAGAAAAGTCGAAGGATTCCAGTCGTGTTCGAGAACGACCGCAAAACCGGTTTACTGCCGCACTTCCCGACTTTGGTGACATTTCACTTGGACGCGAGGCTAACTTGAAGGGAAAGGAGAAGGAGACATCGGTTCGCCCAGCTGGAAATTTCAAGCGACCGAACCCATTTATCACTGCGAGCAATGCAGGGGCAGATCCGTCTCGCGTGCGCCTCACCATGGCCCCTTCGGAATCAGCATCTGTGCATCTTCCTCCTATATCCCGTCCAAAACCACATTCCGCGCCTCTTAGACCTCTTCAACCTCTCAAGCTACCTTCGTTTGTAATCAGCCCCCCAGAAAATGCATCGTCTTCCAAACCTTTATCGATTCTCAAGCCACCTCCGAGGCCTCAGCTGACTTCTAAAGCGATCGTTCTGAAGCCTCTTGCTCCACCCAACTTTGCCCCGTTTGCCGAAAAGAAATCATTGACTAGCTTAAAGCCCATCTCATCTTTTGCGATAAATCCCACAAAGGACGGTGCAGGTGCTGAGCTGCTCTCGCTTTTTCTCCAACAGCACGGACACAACTTTGTCACTCCATTCGAACGTGAGATACAGCGCGGCATTGGACTCAGCCCTCGTAAAAACAAGAGCGCTAAAGGGAAGTTTGTGCGGTACGTGCGCGTCTTGCGAGATCATTGGTCGATTGGTATTGAAACGCGATGGTATAACAGTGGTGGAATGGCAGCGCGTGCGCAACACCTGATCTCAGGCACAAAGACCGACTATACCCTTTGGTGTCTACAGCTCAAACAAAAGCTCTCATCCGCGCCACCCGCCGCACCGACGTTATCGTGTGATTTGCTCCTACGCATTCTGCGAGTACTACCCCTTCCCACGAAGACCGCTACCCCCACCCGTGTGCACCTCGCCACATGTCGCATCTCATCGCGCCACAGGTTCGCCAACATAACAGATTTGAGGGATCAATGTTATGTCGTTCTTTTTCCACACGTTGTCGAGCCAAGTCGTAATTTTGAAGAGGGCAGGGATGTCTTGGCCTGGATGCCGTGGTACAAGGTTATGCTCTCCACTATTGTGCCAAGGGAGATACTGGGAAGTCTTTCGGTTGAACCATTGATGCCCCCAAGGAGTGTCATCATTGTACCACGATGGCACATTATGCAGACTGAGTGACAAGGGGAGCTAGGGTCTGTATCAGGCGCTCGCCGCTACAATGGCGCTGATGGTTTCATAATAATATTGCATAGCTTTGCGCAGCGATAGTATCTGATAAATTACTTATCCAGCACCTCGCCAATCCGCACGTGAAAAATCTGGAACCTGACTGGCACTGATCTTTCAAACTCCGTGACCGTGCCGTTCTCAAACGCTTAAATTTACACCATTCTGACTTGTCAGACTACAGGCACAATACAATCGGTCTGCGTGTCTAAGTCAAGATTTTGAAACGGAATGTAGGATCGTACATGGTCCAGAATTTAAGGGGCGATCCAGGGCGATGGTTCAATGCGCCGCAGCACTAGGGTACTGCCAACGTGTGTCTATTCAGTACTAGTAATGCGAGTCACGGGTACTACTACATAATACTTTTATACTACTTAGTACTAGTACTCCTGTGAGTCCTGTCTCCATCAAAGTTAAATATTACATACAATTTGCAGGGCCGGTACCTGTACAAACTATATTGCATAGCACTTTGAGTTATAATGTATAACCTAGTAACTCAAGGTAGAATTCCATAAGCATAAGTCCATTAGCGTTTCACCTGGACGTAGTATAGTACAGCAACGGTCCTCGCCGAATGCGGCAACACATGAATTTACCCGACGAGCTGACCTTACGTAAGGCCTCCCTAGCCCACCACAAGAGAGCACATCAATCCAACTTGCCACGTACATACCTGGTTAAATAACGGATGATCTCACTGACCAGCTATAGCTACTCGAGCGTCACTCCCTTGGCGTACATAAACACACACTACCCCACATTTGGTGCCGATCTGCCTCATACGGGGATGAAAGTTTTCCACGTGAACTTTACTTGGGATCAAAGAATACCCACTGACGGTCCCCATGACCTCGGAGCCGTTTCATCGAGTTCTTCACTTAGCGTCTCTGACCTGACGCTGTGAAAAGAACGCAACAATTTGAATCAGCTGGTTGTTTCAGACTCTCGCGCGTGAAGTCGGTTTCCCGCGACGCGTCGGTGTCACCGCTCACAAAAATTATGTAAAGAGAGAATTCACTCCGTACCGTGTGGATTGCTGGGAAGCCGTGACGGCGTAACGCGTATATGACATCACGTGATCGCGTGATGAGTTAGCCACAGACGCGCGTCAAGTTTAGCTAATACTTAGAACGACTCCTTACTGACCAGATAGACGCGCCTAACAGTTGTTATCCAAGATGCCCGAAAGACGCGTGTCATCAATTAGACCTCCTTCTCAACCGTTATCAGGGGACGAGGGAGACATGGACCTCAAGGGCTCTCAAGGCACCAGTGATGACCACAACGAGGAGTAATTCTCGTGATATTTGATGCTACCTACCACACTGACAACAGATATCCAAGAACGTTCGCCGTCATCGCGGCAGAGTTCAAAGGTGTGTCAAAAATTATAGAGCTAGCTGTATCTGACTATATACGCTTGCCAGCGACATGGGAGAAGAAGTTGAGAGGACGCGACAATAAGATAATACAGACAACGCAAAAGGAACTCAACCTTGCTGTTCGTATTCTTGATACACATCACCTCTCATCTTCACCTTTCAAACAGCTCCAGAACAAGGAAACCGAAATCGCCAACGTCATGAACGATATGTAGGACGTCCTGTCAGGGCGTATATACCGCTGTCTGCTCAACACACTGATACGCAACCGAAGGGAGACCCTTCATCAGGATTTCCTCAAACAATATGCGATTCTAGAAGACAAGAAGCGCAAGATAACAGCTGCGATCGCCGAAGCACAGGAAGAACTCATAGTCTGTCTCTCAGCACCAAGAAACCATCATTACATTCTCTAAGTAATTAACGTCTTCTTACAGCCACTTGCGATCAAACGCCACCAGGCGATCATCAGTCTTGGACACGAGGTCGAGAACGGGCAGCTGGAAGGAATGGCCCTCATGAAAGGTGCTTGCCAATGTATGCTTATCCCCGTTCTCCTCCTGCTCCGCAGCTGATCTTCTTCCCCCCCCGCTCCATAGCCACCCGGGATGTTGCCCAGGAGCTTGGGACGTTGCACTTCGATTCCTGAATGATACCAGTACTAGAGCATTCTATCGTTCCCCCTTGGCCAGCTTGGCCCGTGTTAACTGAGCGTAGATACGGCCAACCAGGCCCCATGTCAGTGGACCGTATTTATGAACTGCTTGACATGTCAGGCGTTTCATCCCCGCTACCATATCACTTGGGCTTGGCATGCAGCAGTCGTACCTTGCTGTTGAAGATCATAAGTCGTCATGACTTTGATTCCCATATGACGTGGAGTCAGAAGCACTCAGGCTGTTGGCACTTTCCCGTACAATGAACTGGGGAGCGCCGGTTTCCGAAATAGATTCTCTTCTTTTCGCTGCTGACGCGGCCAGTAAAAGCGTGCCTGGACCATGCAGGGAGTGCGGGCTTTTGCGAGCCTCCGGAGACTTAGGAGATGAATGGTCAGCATCAGACGGTCCCTAGATGTAATATATAAACATAGGTCGAGGAATAGCGTGACGATCAAAGCGCCACAGCGCTTGTACAAAACAATGGTCAGGACTAGTGTTTGCCTTCGAGGAAGCAACGTGCATGATATGCTAGAAGATGACTATCAGAGATAACAGAGACCCGATAGACCGTAAGCTTGGACAGCAGCGGTGAACGTGGGTATTTACACAAGGAGAGGGCCTATGACCACGAGTTGTCATATCTAGGGCACAATTCGCGACCTCGTTAATCGTTATGTCAGGACCCGAAGTGCTGCTCGTGTGCAGTGGCGACCCGAGCAGCCTAAGGATAAGTTATCGCTGATGACAGGGTCCGAATCAGAAGCAAAGCGTTAGTTAATGAACGTATGAAATTTTGAACAACCCACCAATTACGTTCCAACATCTCCCTCCTGCGTGTGCGAGCGCAACAAGGTTGTATTGTCACTTAGATATTTAAAGCTTTTCATTTCATCAAAGGTTACCCTGACTTCGGCGGTATGGCGCCTGCGCTGCTAAGCCCTGTTAAGCCAGGATAACTATAACCTTTTCGGCTACCCTCCACTCCGCCTTGGCACCGTCCACATCGAGATCTCTAAACCTTTTGAGCTCTGTCACGGTGGCTCCTTCGCCAAGACGACCGTACGTGGCCGTAGTAGGCTCGGTGTCTGGTGCCACATCGAGGTTGATATCCAAGTCGTATAATGAAGGAACGTGTAGTATCACTCTTCTTGGTTCTACGTCGAGCGTTGAGTTTGAGATTTGCGCGCGAGTCTGTACAACCCAACGATTGCCAAGGATCAACACGGGAACTAAACTATTGGCGACAGCATGTCTCCGTGGAAACAGCCCGACAAGCTCGATGGTATGCCGGGGATGAGACTTACCAGATTGGGCACATTGATGATGAAGCGGATTTTACGGTGGTCCTTTGTCGGAGTCCATGTCCATGTGGGAGTAGCACTTTTGAGTATCCACTCAACTTTTGAGGCCGGGGCTATAACTGTTGGAGAAGCTAGTTCCTGAATGAGGGTAGTCTTAGCGTCGGATTTGTGGTGAGGGTGACCGGGCGGAAAGAGGTTTCTAGGCACAAGCACTTGGCGCGACACAGGTTTGCCTTTCGAGGCGATGTTGGGCGTGCTAATCTGCCGAGAAAGCGCAAGTGTGGTGTGTGATTCAACACGCTGCAGCGCAAGTTCTACGTCAAGTCATGGTCAGATGATAGACACGAAGCATGAAATGACGTGCCTATAATGAACGCTTTGAAGTGGGCTTCTTTCAGGGTGCGAGGCTTGACGGATGGGTTAAGGACACAGTCGACGACAAGGGCCGGTTTCCCGGCTGAAGACGACGATCCAATGGATGTCAATCACGCGGGAAGAATTGAAATTACAGCCAGAAATGGTGCTTAAGCGAAGTACGCGGAGACGGGTTGATGACAGCACCGACCTTTGTCTTTGTCATCGCGGGGATCTGACACTAGGACTGGGATGAACCACCCATCGGAATTTGATTCATTGTAGTGTTGGCCACGAATTACTTTTTGAATTGTATCTTCGCTGCCAGGTGGAGGTGGAGGCACGTTCGTGTCCCAAGCTATGTTAACAAAAACTTTAAGTCCTTTTGGGATGGCTCCTGGAGTGTCGGAGGGCGCACTAGCAAGAAGACTAGTGGCGGTTCTGGGGACGACGGCTTGTTGGAGCGCGCTAGATTTTACGCAGAAACCGGGGACTGGATTTAGCGTTAGACTGATTGAAGAGGACATTATCGAACATAGCGTGGAAACCAAGTGGAAACAACGAGCCGTTTCATGAATAACGCTCCTTCCATATCGGGTTTTGTGGATTTGTACTTGCCAAATTTGAACGTCACTTTACGAAATTGCCAATTTTCGAATGACTTGTCAACATTTGCTGTGTTTCTTTGAATAAAATCGGAAAATTACTCGGCCTCACACATGCTATAAAAACCCGCTTGATTTTCGCTTGTTCAACACAACCTCTCTCCTTTTCCTTGTAAAACTGTAACTGCATTTCATTCCCATTCTCTCTATTACAATGCCTTACAACGTTACTCCCATTCCCGATGTCGATGATGACCAAAAACTACAGCAATACATCCAGGATAGACGTGTCATTGGTGTACGTGGTCTAACTCTTCCAACCTCTCCAATTTAACATTCATCACTTCAATAGTATGACCCCCTGGTTCAACCTGCCTTGCTCAGGCATGAAATTCAGCCCACAGCGGCCTCACAGCTCACCATTGCAGCTGCCCGTTACAATGCTGCTCGCATTGTAGCTGGTCAGGATGACCGTATCCTCGTCATTGTTGGTCCCTGCTCCATCCACTGCGCGGACCAGGCTATTGAGTATGCCAACCTACTCAAATCCAAATTGGCATCATGGGACAATCTCCTCATTGTGATGCGCGCGTACTTGTGAGTCGTGCCTGTTCCTTATGGATTGTACTATACTGACGTTATGTTTGTGATTCTAGTGAGGTTCGCTGGCCGCATAATTAGTTCCTGGCAATGACTCACCTTATCTTATTATAGAAACCGAGAACTACCGTTGGATGGAAAGGTCTCATCAACGACCCGGTTAGCCTATTTTCCCTTTTTACGTTTATTGTTTGCTCATTCTTTTTGCTCCTCTCTTTCTGCAGGATATCGATGGATCTTACAAGATTAACAAGGGTCTTCGGGTGGCTAGACAGCTCCTCTGTGACCTTACCGACATTGGTGTCCCTGTCGGTTCCGAACTGCTTGATACTATCTCGCCTCAATATATTGCTGACCGTACGTCATGTCTTATCACTTCCATATGCTTTTTCTGACCCTGCTTCACACACAGTTATCTCTTGGGGAGCAATCGGTGCCCGAACAACGGAATCTCAACTCCACCGCGAGCTCGCTTCCGGTGTTTCTTTCCCTATAGGGTTCAAGAACGGTACTGATGGAAGGTATGATACCATTTGACGTGCTTTCATTAAGGAACCATGCTGATGATCATCTCGGCACAGTGTCACAGTTGCTATTGACGCCATGCGGTCCGCCTCTAACCCACACGCTTTTATGGGTGTGACCGAACAAGGTCTTGCCGCTATCGTCAAGACACGAGGAAACCAGGATGTTCACGTCATCCTCCGTGGTGGCACTAAGGGTCCCAATTACGCATCCGAGCATGTTCGCGCCGCTTCCAAGTCTATCGAGAAGGCGCGGCCGACGAACCATGCCAGCATTATGATTGACTGTAGCCGTAAGCATATTAATCAATCTGTCATCAAGTTGTCAGCATCGAACTCATCTAACTCCTTCAGACGGGAATTCTCAGAAGAACCACAACAATCAACCTAAAGTGGTCGATGTTATCTGCTCGCAACTTGCTGTTGGTGATAAGAACATCACCGGTGTCATGATTGAGTCGCATATCAACTCGGGACGGCAAGATGTTCCTGCTGAGGGCCCGTCTGGCTTGAAGCATGGTGTGTCGATCACGGACGCATGTGTGGATTGGGAGTGTACTGTGGGCATGTTGGACAGGCTCAATGAAGCTGTCAAGGCACGCCGCAATTACCTGGTGGAGCAAGGTTTCCAACGGCCAGCTGGCTTCCAACGTGAAACCCCTCCATCGCCGTGAATTTAGATTTATCTTGTACCTCTGCGGATGCTCTGTTTCATGTACGTGATCCACACGCGTGCGTTGTATTTTAGCCTGTCACACTACGTTCCATCGTCCATAGTATTAGATCTTTAGACGGAGGATTTCTCTCGCTGTAGTTAATAGCATCGAGTCCTTGCACGGTTAAACTATTCTTATGCTTTATCTTTTGTTACCCTGTTACAATAATTATGGAAATATATCCGGCTGATTCATGGATAATAGTGTGTTTATCCACCAAATATTGTGAATTAAAAAACGTGCGTAGGCATGTACGAACGTGTACGAGTATAAGATGAATCACGGCTTTTATAATTGGACCGTTCTACATTCGTGCATCTACTACAAAGTTAAGTTTTTACTGGGTACTTACGGAGATGCGAGGATAAGTAGGAGGAACTGCCTGCAACAGCCTCATCTTACCGGCATCCAAACTAGAAGATCGTTGGGATTCCGCAGCGAACGTATCATATTTTGATGATCAAGTGAGACATTCCGCACGACGACGTCGGCCGACGTTCCTGCAAGTTGTTTCACAATTTGTTCGATGTATCTAGAGCAATTTCAACCCCCGATCCCCTTACGAGCTCCCTATAAGCGCTCCCTCCGCGTGCTCTAGGGATGAAATCGAGATCGTGTTTGATCCCGGTGACGATGAGTGTTGTAGCCACCACGGAACTGGTCAGCATAGTACGGTCGGCGGTATAATGATCCGGCATTTGTTTAGTTCTCCGTAACGGAGATCTTCAAGATTCAATCTAGAAGATCCACCTTTACGCGAAATTGTCGACGCCGCCGGGCGCCGTATACGAGAGAACACCGGCACCGTTGGCGAAGTCTCTAATTGCAATTAATGTATTAGTACTGTATCAGCATCTGCTGCATCTTCTTCTTCGTCAACGTCGCATGCCTTACGAATGTCTCTGCCATGCATCAATAACCCTCTCCAAAGACGGACCCGACCACCCAGATCCAAACACCGTATTCATCTTCGTCCCTGTTCCTCTTAGAACTTCTTTTATCCCCTCATCCAACGTCCTCAAATCAACATTCCCAGGTGCGGCACATTGTGCATGAGCATCCTGTGCAAGTTGCTTCAGGATCACTAGCAGCGATGCAGACGGAACACCATGGCGCAGCAGATACCAAGCCAACCAACGCGATACCTCAGGGGCATCTTCAGACTCCACTATAAGTTCCCCACGAGCATATCTCCCAAACACCGCGTTAAGCGCTGTGGAGCTTTGCACTTCTGTCAGGCGCTCATCCAAAGCCTGCAATGCGCCGGAAACTGTGTTTTCGCGAATAAGAGAGGGCCGAATATTATTTTCTGATTTCCCGCTGAATCGCCGATCGTAGACTTTGCTGTAAAAGTCGACCGCAAAACGGAGGTCTTGCAGTCGGAGATGGAAGTAGTTGTTCGATGATGATTGAGTCCGATACTGATAAAGCATGAGATGGGACTGCAGTGTTTCCATCTTATCCTGAAGAATGCTATCAAGCAGCACAGCGTGACAGTAATTGTGGAAGACCCCTTCATCGACTGTCTTACCGTCCTCGCGCGAGAAATGGTCTGCGAAAGCAAGAAATAGGATGTCGTTGGAGAAAGATGAGATGAAATGAGTCAGGTCGCTTGCGGGGTGTACCTTCGTGTCCGTCAATTGCGGAAAGTCTAAAGTCGCAGCATCTCCAGCCGATGAACCAGAGCGAACGAAAAGACTTCTACTTCCCCTAGGGTCCTCCGTATAGCTCAAGAAAGCCGTCCGTCGCTTCACGTACAACGTTTGGTGCTTTAACAGGCTTCTCCTATGCTGTGGTACGTGTTCGAGATCCACAAAGAAAGGCCAATAGCGGGGCGTATCAATTCTAATGGACAAAATCTTGTTGAAATCCGGTATCAACGTGGGCGATATCAACTGCGTTGCACCCTTTTCAGCACCTTCTTTCGTAGTAATTTTGACCGGGAGATAGACCGCTTCTCTGGTATTAACATCCCGTGCCATAAGACATCTAGGCTCGACTGCAAGAACCCAGAGGTGGCGAAGAGCCTGGAGATAGCTCTTGTTGTCCGATGATACGTGATGGAAACGGGGGAAAAAGGCAACGACCATACAAGCAATCGCGGCATTCGAAGTCCCGAGGGTATACCGACCGGCCCCGAGGAATAATAAGCCAAGCGACAGGTGAGTCGCAACATGGACACCATATCGAAACGCTTGGTGATACATGCCATATGCATATCTCAGACGTCGCAAGCATGTGATTTCCCCTGTACCCGCCATGACCATACAAAGCGCAATGGAAATGAGGTTCAAGCCTTCACGAACGGCAGAGCGTTTGATCTTGTGATCAAAGGTAGGGCCTGGAAAACATCAGACATTTAGTATGACATCTTGCGAGTTCCGCAAGGAAAATTTACCACTAGCTGCCACAAATCTACTGAACGTATCAAAATAATTCGAGAGCATAATATATGCCTCATGACGTGCTGTCCCTGCGTACTTCAAGCCAATAACAAAACAACAACCCGCGATGATGTTGTAATAGGCAAGCTCGATAGCATCGTCAGCCGGTTTTCCTCGTACGTGACCATGCATGGCCTTCACGATAGATTCGGGAACTTGAGCAAGTAACCACTGCGGCGTCGAGGCGATGTCGTTCCACATGATCAAGGATCTTGCAATAGTCCGCATGAGCAAAAAGCTAGGCTGTATGCGGTTCAGTTCCAAGACCGTGCTAGGAATCACCAGGATGTCAGCGACGTCTCGTCGCTCTGTCTTGAGATACATCAACCCAAGTGCAATAGAAGCTGCTGGCGAGGTGATATTGACATCGAATGTGGACCGTGCTTGGGAATTCACAACTGACTTTCCTTCGCCGTGCACAAGAACGCGGAGACGATCGAGCGATGAGAGATCTGCAGGAACGGAGGAGCCTTGACCCAGCATTATCATCCCAAAGGCCAAGGCTGCACAATAAGTATAAGCTTCCCGGTGTTCATTGCTGAGGTCCGGTTGCACGAGGTCTCTTCGGCTGATTTGGTGAAGACACACTTCTGCCATGCGCCTGTTTTTGGTACCGAGGTACAGAATTCCGACTCCCGCCAAACCGGCGGCTTGGGTCATGAGGGATACGTTCAGGTCAACGTTTTGCGTAGGAAGCAAGGCTGGGGTATGAACGGCAAGTAACTTTGTCACATGGCGATTGCCTGTCCCAGCGTTCGCGGCTGATAAACCAAGCAAGACGCCAATGGAGGTCAAGTCATGCTTTGGGGTTAGATATGCAAAGGTATGCCATGTGAGCATTTCCTTGAGGTGCCCCGTGAGCCCAAGGCCAAACAAGAAACCGGCATGTTCTGGGGTGAGCTCAGAAGGCTTGTTAAAGGCGATCCACGAACTCTCCACACCACGAGCTTCTGGAGAGATGCGTAGTCCTGCAGCGACACCATTATGGAACTCGCCCCAGTTGAGGCATTCGACAGGTATCTTTCCAAGTTCGGGTGCAGAAGTGACATTTGATGGTTGTATCTTAACCGCATACTCCATCTTGGGAGTGACATAGGCCTCTTTCGTGACCGTCAACACAGAACCAAAGGTGAACATAGCACGACCATAGGGTAGTGCCAGCGTTCGCTCTGCGATACGAACTACTTGATGCTGTTGCTCCTTCGCTTGGTCATGTTCGCTATTCAAGAGTTGTCAGTGAAGCCTCGACCTGGCTTATCGATCATCCTGCTCACTTCAATTCCGGACGCTCCACAAGCCGAACTGGTGGAACCGCTGACGAACAAAGCATACGAGCCACCTCTTCCAATCTGCGATCTTGGCCAAAACGGATCTTCGTGAATCCCTTGAGATCGAGCTCGACTCCAGAAACCGCATCGATCTCTCCAATGCTCGCAGACTTGGCCTGTTCAGCCAGACTGCCGATCGTCATCCGTCGGTGGGTATTCTAGAATCAGATCAGTCGCTGCAATACACCCTGAATTGTACGTCCCTACCATATAGGTCTCGGGAGACTGAGCGATGCCCTTCTGAGAAAGCTCTGGCTGCATTCCAGCAACGCTAAAAGCCAAGTCACGCCTGCCAATGAGCTCATAATGCTCCTTGCGCCAATGAGAAGGAGGCGACAGCTGGCACGTTCTAACCGCTTCTCTCAAGGGCGCTGCGATACCAAACGGAAGACTATTAAGAAACGCAGAGCCCTTCTCCGCTGTCCCAAGTATGTCGACGAGCTTTTCGACAGTCTGTTCTGCCCGCTTTTGTGTGGATAACACCGTCTTGTCAGCAAGACACATATAGGCTGCCGTGAGACGCTGCAAGGACACGAGCGGTTCGGTGTCCCCAAAAGCAAACGATGGATCGATAGAAAAAGATCGGGCCAGTCGGGAGGTTCCATACGCAGGAAATTGCCAGTCAGGATTACTTATGCTTCCATAAAGAATCGCCGACATATCTGGTGGCCAGACCGGTATGCGGTCGTCGAGCATGTCCACACCTAATATAAGAAGATTGAGAGAACATTCCGGAAAAAGAAATCTATGAACTGACGCGTAGTGGTTGGGGCGGGCCATCCTGGCATGATATTAGGACAGAGGCGCTTCCAGTAATCCGCCCATTCTGGTCGAACGATGTGTGCAATTTGACATATCAAAGGAATGAGTAACATGAGGGATTCGTATCGAAAAACCACCAAGCGGAGGTCCTCCGCCAACATGTGCAACGCATAGAGCACAGGGGCGAGGAGAGGGTTGACGTTCAGAGTGAAAAGGAAGTAATGTTGCGTGGTCGGGGGTGTAGGAAGCTTCAAGCGTTTGAGAGCCGGATCGTCGTTGAAAGAACGATTAGAGGTGGACAAGGCTGAGAATCTTTCCCATACAGAGGAACTTGTGGACTCGTCTTTTTTGAAAGGATATACAAGCTTGAGCTCAAGAAGCGCGAAAAGCGCGAGCGTGAACTCCTGAAACTCGAGCCCAGGCGATGTACGGAAATAACGCTGTGACCATGACTCGAGAAAGTTTCGTTGCAGGTCAAAGGCTTGAGCTTTTGGCAGCACAAGTGCCAGAACCTGTATGGCCTGGATCACCAGTGGATCGCGCGGGGTCATGTCCAGTCGCGCATAATAGACCTTTCCATCACTCATCTCCATATATACCGATGAGACGCAAACATGCTTCAATGCTACAACATGATCAAGTGAGACGACCTCAAATGAATCGTTGCTGTCGCCGTTCCAGGGTTGCGCGAGCCTCAGTCGTATACGAAGCTCGTGCAATCCATGAGTATACAGCGATAACGAACCATCCTTCTTCACCGCAAGAAGGTCCCAAATGTCACCACGCGTCGCACGTATCGACGCGATTGCAACGGCTTCCAGAGTGCCGAGTCTCTCGACCACAAATGATTTATTGCCTTCCTCAATGGCGATCATAAAGACGATCACCTGAGCCTCAGGCAGGCAGACTGCGAGGAGCGAGTGATGAACCTTGCCATCAAAGCGTTGATCAAATAACGCAACAGAGATATCATGCGTCGACAATCTACAACAACATGAGTTCGTGTTTAGGTGATGTATCAATAACCTCCTACTGTCTCCCTCCCAAATGATGAGTGGTCAACTGCTGGGCCCAGTAAGACGCCTTCATCCTTCCATGTTCCACAGGAGTGATCAACTCTTCCGCGTCTTTCTGTCCTCCAAGCGCCATTCTGTCCATTGTCAAACTGAGATCTAGGCGAGTGATAGAGTCCCGTTTTCTCCCCGGTATCGGTGGTTGAGCAGTGATACTACTTGCCGTTGAAGACGCAAGTCCTGATATAGGGGGAAACGGCGGAGGAAAATCGCCATCAAACTCCAAGTCCTGAGGTACACGCCGATCAAGTTCCAACAGATCGCTAACGCTCGATTGTCGCCTATTCCCAGGAGCAGACACACTCTTTCGCGAAGTGCTATGACGTCTGGTCCGGGTAAGAGGCACAGGCGCATCTTTGGGCTTCAAGTAGGCATATCTCCATATAGACAGACCCCCTTTGTCTGCATCAAAGGTAACCAAAAACTCGCCAGTCGAATTAGGAACACCAGGAGAAACCCAGACAACCTCGTCGCTAGCAGAAACGGCAACAAGCGGCTTGGAACAATTCTCTTCCTCATCTACTAAAGCAACAGGCTCGTCACCAAACCCTCCCAAAATCCCACTCGTGATTCCTACAGCTTCAGGCTCCGAAAAAGCGCTCGTGATGGTGAATATGGTGGGTAACAAATCATCTCCGGTCGCACGAGCCTCCTCCACTTCGGTTGGATGAAGGATTCGCTGGATCAGAACGCCATGAGGACGAAGCGGCCACGCTTTATGAACAAGAAACGGAAGCGAAAACGTATAATCCATCCCGTTCCGCAAAAAAACCTTGCCGATGCTCCGCAGGAAAATAAACACGCCTGATATCTCCTCCTCTACATCCTCGACCGTTTTCGTTTCATCCCTGAGCGATGCGAATGGCCCGAAGATGTTCGTCGTTCCGGGCGGTTCGTCCGATCGCGTGTAGTGCGCGCTACCGTGTGCATGCCGGTGAGAGGATCCTGTCGGCTGCAGGAGTTTTCCGATGCAGGCGTGTTGGATCATTTGGTTTTCTTGGCTGAGGTCCCATTTTCTCTTGATGACGCCTCCTTCGCTTAGGACTACGCAATAGTCGTTCCAGGAAAGTTCTTGGTCTGTCCAGGACTCTGATCCACCTGCGAAGAGAGGGCTAAAAGTTGTGTTTACAGTGTTAGTACCGGAACTTCGGATGGCAGCACGTATGGAACGAAGGAGGTCAGATTCTTCAGATGCATCTGCTGCTGGGGTTGTGAGGAAAGTGGTGGCGGCGGAGGGCTGATATTGTTGGGCTTGTATTACAATACCAGACATAATATGCGGTGCACAGCATAGATAGCAAAAGCAAATAGGCAAGCGCGTTATTTGTGTTTGGTGTCCGTTGTTGTGCAATACCTTCTGATAATAACACACACAAATACAACTCCTATAACTGGTGAACACGTCGATACTATTGCAAACTTTTACGAACACAATTAGACTATGCAGTAGTACATAAGGAGGCGTAAGAACTCCAAGATAAAATAAATGACCAAGATAAACAATATGCAGAATATGCTGGTGCGATTGCGAGATCCAACTTGAAAGTGCAAAGATGAAGCAGAAAAATGCGCGAGGACGTCTTGCGTCAAAGCAAGCAGTCCATCATATGAGCCAGCACTAGGGAAAGAACAAATAAAAATACCAGAAAAAACCACTCTAACCGTATTCTCCATACAATACCCAGGACGCTGTCCGCATGTCCATCCATGGAGACCTGTAGTGTCCGCACATGGCCTTGCTTGTCGGTATCCTTCCCTATGCTTAATGTATATACATGGTGACTAAAGGCAACGGTGAGCACAATCATCAAATTGAATCCAAGAGAGCTTACAATCAAGGCGAATTAGGTCGGCGACGCAACGCCTCGTGGCTGCTTTTCCTACTCCCTATCACACCAATGTGAGGTAATGCAACGCCGGCGATACCCTTTGTTTCCTCGTCGTTTAGCTTCCAGATATTGCTAACAGGCAGGTTTGAAGAAGAGTCATTCATGACAATGCGATCCTTCCCAAATGATGAGCGTCCCGAAGAGAAACTATCGTCATAATCCTCTGGAGAGAGGTCAGTGGACGAGGTAGAACTCGGCGACAGAGTGGGGGATTGCACGATATCCTGCAAGAAAGAAGGAAGCAAAGGAGCGGGGATATTGGAGGGAAGATGGTCTTCGAGATCACCAAGGCTTGGGAACGAAGACGGCGAGGTACGACGGGGAGCGGACGTTTCATAGATGAACTGGGGGTCTGAATATTGAGTGCCCACGTCAAAATTGGAATGCGAGCGGGATCGGTAGGGTACTTGATTCTGAGGAACGTTGTCCATGAACATACGACGGCGCTGTGGGGGTGTCATGGAATGAGACCGAGGAACCTGAGATGGAAGGGACGGGGGGCCACTCGCAAGCGGAAGCTGGTTCTGCGCAAGGAGCGACGTAAGTAAGTTGATGCGCTCCGCTTGCACAGCAGCGGAGATAGAATCGCCGTTTCCTTCAGCATCTGTAAAAAGTTGGTAAAAATTTAATATCGAAGTTGATGTGCACCTACAGGGGAAACAAGTCTGGCAAACTTTACGGCGTCTCCAATTCAGATAATTGCACTTCTGACAGATCCAATCACCAGGCTGATGTTCAATAGGCCCACGATTACCAGTGTTCAGGATCGGGGGCTGCTAGGGGGCAATACTTGTCAGCCTGGGAAGGAAAGACACCAAACGTAATGCTTACTGGAACGACCATCAAACTGCTTGGTCGAATCTGACCCTGTTCTGGGAATGATTCGTTATCCGGCCAATACATGACACACGGCGACAACGGGTCCGAGGAGACGTTTTGTACCTTTCCTCCCACCGCAAAAGAACGACCGGATGGAGTGAGGAGAGGGTGGGCAGGCGAGGGGGGCTTTGCACTCATCATGCTGGGCTGGATAGGCGGGGGTGCATGACGCACGTTATGAACGACACTGGGGTAAAGAGGAGAGGGAACCGATGGAGAAAGACTGGTTTGCGGCATGGGCGTGTGTCCGGATGAATTTATGAAGCGGGGTGATACTGGAAGACGTGACGGGGGTGGCCCGCAAGATCCTTGTCGCTGCATCGTTGAGGGTTGGTTCTCAGAACGTGGACATCCACAACCTCTGCAAGCTAGGTTACGTCTGTGTAGAATCATACAAGGAAAGGAATCAGTCAGTACCATCCTTGCATGAGAGATAGAAAGGCAGAAGGGAAAGACAACGATAAGAGCGGTTCAAAGTAGGTAATGATGACGCGTATGACGATCGAAGCAGTTCGAAACGTGACGTGTTCCCCTAGCTTCGCCGTCGGGATTCTCCAACTCAATGGAAGTAAAAAAAAAATACACAGAAATGCGGTGACCGTGTCAAAGAACGAAACTCACCCAAAGTTGTGCGCTGCGCAGTTGGGCGAATTGCATCTGTCGAAGAACTGGTCAGCACCGACTCAATCGATTTCAAATAAAGTTGCCCCTAAAAAGCCTGGGCAACTCCACACAACACGATCACGATGTTTGCAAATTGGGAATGGTGCTTACATCCAGTCACCCAGTCTGAAAGTCGTTCGCGGGTTGGGCGGATTGCTAGAGATGACAAAGTCATCGTTCGGTGCCCCGATCGTCTGGGCAAATGCAGGGGTCCCAAGTTGCGCGCGTTTGTGCAGGTCAGGCGTTGACAAGGACATGCGGAGACCAGCAGGATATGAGATCGCAGGAGAATTCTGACTTTGGGTTGAGCCGCTGCCAATACACTGATTGATGATCTTACCTTGAAGAGGGAATCAACTCTGCACAGCCTATCAAAAGGCTCCAAATCGGTCTGAAGGGCAGGGGAGATGGTAACGGAGGGGTGAGAGAGGGAAAGTGTTGTGCAGGCCTAAGAAAATGACATGTTGAGCATATTTAACTTACGTCGGATAAATAGTGAAAGTGGATGAACAAAAAAATAAGCCAGCAAAGTGGCATATATGGCTTATTTTGCGGGTGCCTGATTGGTAGCAATGCAACGGTATCCTTTGCACCCGCTCTCACGTGGAGGACACGTTGACAATGAGCGAAAAAAGGAAATGATGCGCCTCCGATCGACCGATTGAGGGAATAATGCCATATAAAGAATTCGATGCCACTTACGTCTTCGTGTGACTGAAATATGGCCCAAATGTCGTTTGGCTCAATGCACTCGTTCGCACCCCACATGGAGACAGGCGGTTTGACAAAACCACGGCGATCTCGTGCCTGTTCAGACGATTATTCAACACGTATTTCGACGTTCTATCGGTGTTGGGCTTACCTCTGTGAAGAATGACACGAAGGACGGCAATGGCCAGCGGGGATCTTTCTGGAGCTTCAAACGGTTCATCAGACATTGGAACGGGCGGAGAAGCGAGAGACTTACGAGCAGGACGCGCGATCGAGTATTTCTGAACTGCTCGAATAATGAGCGAGTGACAGGAAACTCGCAGGATGGACCGTCACTGCTTCCTGAAGATGTTGGAGACAAATTCAATTGAGAGTCGTTGTAGGAGCGGTGATACGGAGGAATAGAGATGTCTAGATCATTAGGGATAAACGGAACGCCCAGGCAAGCAGGGGGTGAAGACGGCTGTGAATTAGCCGATCGAGGAATACAACCCGACTCTAGGTGGAGGAGAGGATAGGACGACTTGCGAAATTGACGCAACATATTCTCGAAAGAGAGAGGATGGGTGGGCATGGTGAATGACATGGGTGAAGTAGGGGGAAGATTTGTGGTATTTGAAGGAGATACCGCCAGCGGAGAAGGCATTTTTGTTGGTTGCCAGGTAAGACGGGTGTTGCAGAAAGACTGAACGATTTGCAGATTAAAGTGATTGAAGATGGTTGAAATGGTTCTTGAGACCAGAAATAGAGAAAGTGCTACCAAGAAATTGAAAATGGGAAGTCGCTTTTGAACTGCTTTGGAAGAGGTCATACATTTCGTTACTTTGACAGTTCACACCGTTAAATTAGAGTGCGATATGTCGCCTCACATCCCACGTGGCCGACGGTTACTTCCGCTCCATTCCGGCCCTTCCTACGTAATCTGCCTTTAACATCCCCTTCCCTTCCAATTGATCATCAATTTATCCAATCCTCGGCCTACTTACTACTAGCTACTACTACTTACACTAACAACTCGTCACCGCCCCGGCTCCCATAACGGATCAACAGATCACAAACACCATCGAAGTCATTTGGACCTGAAAAAAACAGAAGTCGCGAATCAGGGTTGCGACTCGTTGTGAACACTTGACTTGGTCACACACTGTGTTGTGATCGCAAGGAACTATCATCATCGAAGAAACTTGAACGACATCGAGCGCTGACCCACGTATGTCACTCAAGTTGTTATTGACAAATTCAGTTGCGCGCTCACCTGCAGTGCTTCCAGCGATGGCACCGGACCCGCTTCGCACTTGTATATGAATCGCGGCCTCTTGTATGTTCACGGCACGAATTCCCCGTAGTCTTGGTGTGCAGCCAACTGTACCGCCTTTGTCAGGGTCGCCAAATCGCATCCTGTCCGGCTTAATACAAAACTGTCCCGGATTGTCCCATGGGTACAACGTAAATGAGCGCAGAAAAGTGTCAATCAATGATCGGGAACATAGCCTTGAAAAGTTCTAACTTCTACTAGTAGTCTTCGAAAACTTACGTCCTTTCTGATTGTGGCACGAAAAGAGGGGGCGGTGCAACATAATAGCGTTAACAATATTAATATACCAACACTGACCAATAACAACACTAGTACTCAACTCGACCTTGCCCTTGGCCTGTCCCCGTACAGCATCCCCCTTAGCCTATCTCCGCTAAGGGTCACCACCATCTTTTCATCCACGACATACTTCGCGTATCTTCTCCATGCCTCAACACCTTTACCAACCCTTGCAGGACTCTCACCCGTCCGCTCCTTCGCCATCTTCCCAGCCTTCAGAGTACTGATACTCCCAACAACGAACAGCCCCCGCTTCGCACGCGTCAACCCAACATTTAATCGTCGTCTGTCAGCAAGGAACCCAATGTACCCCGACGCGTTATTTCGCACGGTCGAGAATATAATAACGTCCTTCTCGCGTCCTTCGAACCCGTCCACCGTCTTCACTTCGATACTGCTAAGCTGCATCATTCGGTGATCGCCAAGAGTGGATGCGAAGCGTTTGCGATACTTAGCGTCCGTGTTTAGCAGGCGATTCAAAAGTGAAATCTGGGCAGCATATGGCGCAATGACACCAATGTTCGCGCCTAGTAAGTTCTTCGAAAGAATGTCAGTCAGAACATAAGAGGCAACCAGGCAGCGCTCACCTCGTTTTGCAAGAGTAGGTCTTCGACGATGCTACAAACAATGTGAGCCTCATTCCAGTTTACCGTACTTCGGTCCTTGGAAGTTTCCGCACCGCCGTGATCGATAAATACGACAGAGGGACGGTGACCAGTGAGAACATCTTGCTCGAGGTGACTTGACAGCGGCGGTAGTAGCATCGGGTGTATGTTACCAGCAGAGTCCACCGTGCCGTCTTGCAACGCAAAATCATAGAATTCTAAAGAGGGAAATCTAGAAATGGAAGGATGCATCCTGTACTGCACGTCAAGCATAATTGATGGAACAACTGAAATTTGATATTTCTGATAAGAAATCTCCCGACGGATCCAGTCAGAATCACACACCTCCTTCTTCAGTAAGTCTCTCAAATAGGCTGATCCCGAGGCCGTTGAGCTGCGCTTCGCGACTGGCGATGACAGGAGGTAATTGTTTATGATCTCCGATCAGGGCAACGTGCCGAGACTGCTAACGGTCAGAACGAAAACGCGGGAAAGAGCTCAATCGGCTCACTCCTCGCATCAGCGGAATGAGTGATGCTGGTTCTGTCGACATGGAAGCCTCGTCCAGGAACACGACTGGAAAGTCGAGAATATTGAGCGCAGCACTGGCGGATGTGATGCACGTTGTGCAAATCTGGAGTCATCAGTCCGAGACAAAGTGGCGCTAATAGTGGATCACTCACTACGTCAGCCGCAGCCGTGATATCGTTGAGCATTTCCTGATGAAGCGCATACAATTTCGCTCTCAGCGCCAAAAGTTGCCTTTCCAACACGGCAAAAGCAGTCCGCATCCTACCGAGTTTTTCACTGCTCGATTTTTCAGCCGCAACGATCTTGTCCTCCAGCGCGCCTAGCTTTCTTTCGACATTTTCCTGGTCTTTCAGAAGTTGCTCGACTTTAACCCTGAGAGGATGCGCCTCCAGCTTCGCATCTAAGGTATATTCGTGTAGAGACGATTTGATTTTAGCACCGAACCCGACACGAAGGGGTTTCACGCCAGCTGCTGCAAAACCCTCCACGAGATTATCGACCGCAACATTGGTATAAGTGCAGACAAGAACAGGGTGATGCACTTCGAAATGGACCTTGACAACATATCAGAAGACAGAAATCAAATCGGTGCCAAGGATATCGAACCTTGAGTAATTTCACTGCTTCAATGATGGTTTTCGTTTTGCCTGTACCAGGCGGCTGAAATGAATGTCAATTGGCTTTCAATGTCACTTTGACAAGATGAAACGTACTCCTTGCACGAGACTGATCCGTTCGCCGATCATCATGGCGATAGCTCTAATCTGCGTGGCATTCAGGCCCTCGAGGACCGGATCACCATCAATTACAATTGGATTGATCCGTGAATATCGCCTTGCCCAGCTTTGAATATGCATGTCTTCTTTGAACGCGCCTCCGTGCTCTCGCACCTCGCGACTGTCATGCTCAAGTCTCCCTCGAGGCACGTACCTAGTCTCATCTGGATGTTGCAACGGTACATGTAGTGATGGTCTATCCGGTGAAAATGAAGGTAACAGGACGTCTCGCAAATGTGTCCCATGAAGAACAAATTGATTGTTTGGAGGTGAAATCAAATTGGTTGAGTCTTCTAGTGCTTCCGGGTCTTGACTGAATCGAGAAATGGCTTCTCGCATACGAATAAACACGATGTTGGACCGCCCAACGTCCAAGCGCCAGCAGCCGTCCTCAACCTCGAACTTCTCCTCAAATGCTATGCGCAGTTGCGATGCAGTCTTGCTAATGACACTTCCTCGGAGTGGTGGCTCTTGGAGGGGATCGAACCTTGAAACAAGAACTTGGGTACCGTTCCTGAACAAGTAAGCGCGTCACAGGATTCGAATCGAGACGAAAACTCACTCAAACCTATGTTCTGGCAAGTCTATGCCAGGACCAAGAGAAAATGAAGCTACAGGACGTCCAAACTTTGGTGCGCCCATCCAAAAAGCAGAAAGACCCGTTATAGTATACCCTTCTTCTTGTAATCGAAACGACGACCAAGTAGACAGCCGTTCCCTCAGAACTGCCTCATCCTCGGTTTGTTCAAGCTCCAGTAGAGACAAAAAACTGTGAACGACTAATTTAATACAAAGGAAAAATTCAAAAGAGCAACGAACTGTTTATTATATGCCTGAATCTCTTCGAAAAACGGCTCTCCTTGCTGCACCTGGATGTGGGGAGGACTTACACGTCTGATGTATCTCCTGTTCCGTTGACCGTCGGATAGTTGAGTACGGTTGGTGCGCGAAGTGGCTCTTAGCCGCCAGTCAGAGCGTTGAGAAGGTGGAAGAGGGGCGTGATTTTCGGAGTAGTAATCTTCTATCGGGATTTTCAATTCCTTCGGTTTCTGAAGCACCCTCTGCGCTGAACCACGCGAGCAACACGCAACCGAAAACTGACGGACGCCTAGGAGTTCGTGATTGTGTTTCTGAACATGTTTTTCAAGATTATTGAAATAGTTCCGAATACCAAGGAAAGTCAGGTTCCTCGTGGAGCGAGAAACCCTGTGGCCGTTCAAGGACGTCTTGGTGGATGTCGCGATACGTGTATTATTCGGAACAAAGCCTCCACACAAAGCCTCCGATAGCGACTTTTTCGAGCACAAGAGGGTAGCCAGCGCGTATGGTCGAAGTTTGAACACCGACGCTCGGAATTCGAAGAACGTCCTCGATTTGAATGTCGTTCAAGTTGCAAAATGGAAGAAAATTAATTGGGTATTCTACCCCGAAGCGAGGTACGAGTGAAATTGACGCGATTCTGCCGCGGTCGTGACGCGCCTGTGACGCAGCATATGTAATGCTGTGACAAACCTGTCTGACCGCGTCAAGCCTCTACCTTGTCGAGTTCGATCCATGGCCTCTATACTCTGTACTACCATGTCAAGTCTCGTTTAGGCTGGTTGGACGCTGGTCAATATGATATGTGTATCTCGACCTTCCTAATAATTTATTCTTGGAGGAAATTGTAGCGAGCGTGAACTTGAAGTGAGGAAAACATTACCTGCTCTATTCAATAGCTCTCCAACTTACAGTGTGATTGACAGCGCGGCCCCTTATTCAGCGATATTTGATGCATCATTGAACTCGGTCGAAAATCGAATTACAATGTGCTGATTTTCAGATAAGTAGATATATTTTCAAGCAAGTACTAATACAAGTGTCGAAGAATTCTCGTGCATCTACTGAAGAAAGTGTTAATACTCTGTAAGCTCGCGTACTCTTGCAGAAGTACTAAGTAAACTGAACGTATAGCACTGTACACACTTCAGTAAAAACCTGATAGCTTCAAGCTGGTTGTTGAGATGATCCTGAGATTTGGAGGTGATGTTGCTACATACGCGGGTCAGGTTGTGAGTCTAAGCAACCGTCGGAAGACTCGGAATACACGCACCCTTGCAATTTTCCCGCCTTCTGATAAGATAGTGAGGCAAGACCGTAGACCCTTCAAACACCATTGCCTCGTGAGCCAGGAGAGGAGATTACGACCCCAGAAAGACTGAAATATATGGGAGAGGCTCTCGTCCCATGGATTCGGAGCTCGTGAGAGATGAACGACCCAGTTTTGACATGCGTAATTGAGAACGTCGGAAGCGGATTGACTTTCTTCGCGCGCTTCATATGCGAAACTCGAAAAGACCTTCATGGCATCAATGATCTCTATGCCTGGTGGAAGATGACCATGCGATGATACTTGAGGGAAATGATCCTGAGGCCTCAATGCTAGGAATGCCGGAAACATCAAGAAATCCGGCAAGCTCTTGAACTGCTGGACAACTTCAAAGGCCGGGTGCAAGCGCATGTCTGGGGCAAATATGTACTCTCTGAGTGCCTCCAAAGTTCTTGAGAATTCTTCCACGGTCACCCAGGTTGTATTCAGCTGCCATGCTTGACCATGTGGCGTCTGCAGCCAGTCTCGCCCTCCCTGGTTCTCTAGCCAGTCTCTCCCAGCCTCTGCCTGCAGCCACTTTCGCCCGCCATCTGCCTGTAACCATCTTCGCCCACCCTCTATCTGCAGCCAGTCTCGTCCACCCTCTGTCTGCAGCCAGTTTTCGCCACCCAGAATCTGCAGCCAGTCTTGTCCGCACTGGGTCTGCAGCCAGTCTTGCCCACCGTGGGTCTGCAGCCAGTCTTCACCGCTCGGAGTCTGCAGCCAGCGTCGCCCGTGCAGGGTCAGCAACCAGGATCCCCCACTCCTAGTCTGCGGCCACTCTCGCCCCCCCGAGGTCTGCAGGCATTTTCGCGCAGAATGAGTTTGCAGCCAACCTCGCCCGGCCTGAGTCTGTAGCCAGTGGCATCCAGCCTGAGTCTGTAGCCAGTGGCGCCCAGTCTGGGTCTGCAGCCAGTCTTGTTCGTCTGGAGTCCGCAAAATTTTCACGCCATGGATCTGCAGCCACGATTCATCCCATGTCTGCACAAGGTCCGTGCTACTGAGAGATGGGAGCAAGGATGGCTGTGGGGGTGGGGGCGAGTGTTGTCGAACAGGTGACGGCCACTGCCAGTCCTCAGTCTGCGACCATCTTTGACCTCCCTCAGTGTGTAGCCACGCTCGCCCATGCTCCGTCTGCAACCAGTCTTCACCTCCAGATGTGCATAGCCACACTCGCCCGTCCTCAGTCTGCAACCAGCTTTGACCTCCTTCGATCTCTAGCCACGCTCGCCCACCCTCAGTCCACAACCAGGCTTCACCTCCATATGTGCATAGCCACACTCGCCCGTCCTCAGTCTGCAACCAGTTTTGACCTCCTTCGATCTCTAGCCACGCTCGTCCACCCGCCGTCCACAACCAGTCACCTCCATATGTGCCTAGCCACACTCGCCCGTCCTCAGTCTGCAACCAGTTTTGACCTCCTTCGATCTGTAGCCACGCTCGCCCACCCTCAGTCCACAACCAGGCTTCACCTCCATATGTGCATAGCCACACTCGCCCGTCCTCAGTCTGCAACCAGTTTTGACCTCCCTCAATCTCTAGCAACCCATCCTCCGTCCACAACCAGGCTTCACCTCCTTTTGTGCATAGCCACACTCGCCCGTCCTTGGTCTGCAACCAGTTTTGACCTCCTTCGATCTCTAGCCACGCTCGTCCACCCGCCGTCCACAACCAGGCTTCACCTCCCTCTGTGCATAGCCACACTCGCCCGTCCTCAGTCTGCAACCAACTTTGACCTCCTTCGATCTCTAGCCACCCTCGCCCACCCTCAGTCCGCAACCAGTTTTGAAATTCCTCGGCGTGTAGCCACACTCGCCCGTCCTCAGTCTGCAACCAGCTTTGACCTCCTTCGATCTCTAGCCACGCTCGCCCACCCGCCGCCCACAACCAGGCTTGACCTCCCTGTGTGCGTAGCCACACTCGCCCGTCCTCAGTCTGCAACCAGCTTTGGCCTCCTCCGATCTCTAGCCATGCTCGCCCACCCGCCGTCCACAACCAGGCTTCACCTCCCTCTGTGCATAGCCACACTCGCCCGTCCTCAGTCTGCAACCAACTTTGACCTCCTTCGATCTCTAGCCACCCTCGCCCACCCTCAGTCTCCAACCAATTTCGAAATTCCTCGGCGTGTAGCCACACTCGCTGACCCTCCATCCGCAACCAGGCTTCACCTCCCTCAGTGTGCAGCCACACTCGCCCACCCTCCGTCCGCAACCAGCTTTGACCTCCCTCTTTACATAGCCACACTCGCCCGTCCTCAGTCTGCAACCAGCTTTGGCCTCCTCCGATCTCTAGCCATGCTCGCCCACCCTCCGTCCACAACCAGGCTTCACCTCCCTTTGTGCATAGCCACACTCGCCCGTCCTCAGTCTGCAACCAACTTTGACCTCCTTCGATCTCTAGCCACGCTCGCCCATCCTCAGTCTGTAACCAGCTTTGACCTCCTTCAATCTGTAGCCATGCTCGCCCACCCCGAGTCCGCAACCAGCTTTGACCTCCCTCTGTGCATAGCCACACTCGCCCGTCCTCAGTCTGCAACCAGCTTTGACTTCCTTCAGTCTGTAGCCACACTTGCCCACCCTCAATCCGCAACCAGTCTTCCCCGCTGACGGTCTGTAGCCAATCCTTCCCCAAGCGGGTCTGTAGCCAGTCCTTGCCCCCCTGGGTGAGCAACCAGCCCGTTTCCCCTCTCTCGGTGAACATCCAGGACTTCCCTTCTCGAGTTTGCAACCAGGCATTCCCATCTAGGGTTGCTAGCCAGTTTTGTAACTTTGACCTGTGATCTCCCCGAAGCCATATTAAAGCTGTAAGAACTTGCAGTGGCTCTGGTGGCTGGATCATGAAGGATAACGAGCCATTTAAATTCCGAGGGTCGTCGGATTCCATGGCTTTATCCTGCTTCTTCAATTCTGAGAGCGCGTCGAGGATGGTTGTGCTCTCTGGAATCTCGCGCACCATTAAGTGGAGAGAGGAAAGTGCGAGTAGGGAGTGCGGTGACGTGATATTTTTCACTTGAGGGAGGCTGCAGTTAGAGTGCTGGGAAACATAGTCGCGAACGGACGAGTGATAGATATTCACAGGAAGACTGTTATCGGTGGGAACATCTATAACAGACCGTAGTTGCACCAGCACTCTTTCGACATCCCTGCCCTGACCAGGGCCAAGAAGTTTCGAGATTTGAGACATTGGCAAGGGATCTGCAAGGGCAGCAACAACGGACAGGTGGAGGTATGCCTGCGCTGGGTCGGCACATGTGGAGAGAATACGGTCGTATAACTTGTACACCTCGGTTCCTGGAAGCAGGTCACTCGCTAGTTTGAGCATGAGCTCAAGACGGTTGTAGGGGTCACTATATCGATCGTCGATAAACTTCATCATGGTAGATGCCACGATGAAACGTCTCCCCGCTCGATTCGCTAGCCGCTCGAGTTGAATCTTGGTTGGCTGCGGGAAAGTGGGGATGCGACTTTGCAGTTTTTTGAAGGAATGCCGCAAGAAAAGATAAATGTCTTCATCGACATCTGCACCGTCTAGCGAGATAGTGGCAGCAACGCCCTGTCCAGAAATCTTCACTGGTATCTCACACACCAGCGGGCTCACATCTTCTTGTTGCATGGCTTCATGAATATACGCTTCTGAGCGGCTTGTAACTAGAATGTGGATCACAGGCAGATCAGGATCTCGAAGAGCTTGGGCAAGTAAGGAGATGAGTTCAGCAAGCTCAACTTCGGATTTGTTTTCATCGAAGGGTTCAATTGCGGATTGGTCGAGGGATTCCGGTGCAGATTGGTCGAGGGATTCTGTACATTCATCAAGGGCATCAATAATGAACGCCAAAGGCGGACAATCGCGCAGTCTGTATTTGAGCTGCCGCAAAGGTCGGGAAAACAACGCCTCCATCTGGTCGCGAAGAGACCCATCAGGATGTAGAAGAGCAGGGTTCTCGAGGATGGCTTTATTAACATGCGTCCTGACGCTGGGGAAATTATTGGCCAGCTGATAGGCAAGCGTCGCAAAGAAACGAGCAGTTGTGCGTCGATTCGTGTGCTTGCGCGAGAAAAAGAATGTTCCTGCGAGCCGCTTCTCGATAATCGTCTCCTCTGTCACTTTCAGAGCTCTCATCCTTTCGGCCACAGTAAATGCAACAGCAGACTTTCCGACGCCCGCTGTACCATGGAGCCAAATGAGTCGATTCTTCGATTTGTCATCCAATTTCCCGTAGATGTGGTTGAGGAGGACCACTCGGGTCCCTTCCAAACAGTGGGGATGGGGCAAGCGTTCACGAGAGTCATGTTCAGCGCCCTTGACAGTGACCTGAGCCAACTTCTCCCAACCTCCTTGAGACATATCCAAAAACTGGTAATGAGGTCAGAGAATGAGAGAAGGAAAGAGAGAGATGGATATACTCACATTGACTCCTCAACAAGGGGACGATGATTATTGTAACACAGATTGCGAGATAAATTCTTACTAGTCAGGTAAAGACAACTACAGGTTAGAACCCACAGAAGCGGAAATTAACCTTGAGACTTACCAGGACGCTGATCCAAGGATAGAAGGCGAATTTGTAACTTGGATCTTTTATAGCAGATACTGATGCAGATGTCGTGAAACGATGTTCTGCGTAGTAAGTCTGTCCAAACGGGTCATGATCACGAGGTGGCAACGAAAAGATAAAACTCTGACACTCACCGTAGAGTGATATAGGTGCAAGAATTACCTGAGGTTGAACAGATGTGGATGTTGTGGAAATGCAGCTGAAGCGCTGAGGCTGCCAAGCGACAACGAGGCACTTACCGTGTACAAGGACACAAATCTAGTGGTCTAATTTTAGTGACGCTAAGAAAGGCAAGGTGCTGCGGAAACCTCGACGCCGTGCGGCGGCTCATTCAAACTCCAGATTACCGACACAGGTGGCTTCTACATATGCAAGTGTTCGTGCAGTGGGTACCGCACGCTACGGTGCCATTGTCAGTGGGCAATATGATTTGTCCCTGAATATCCTGTCCTATTCTTGAAGGAAAAAACGTGCGTCACACTGGCAGAGTGCATCATCCAGCACCCGCATGTCAAAGCACGAGGATATACAATTGCAGGTTGACTAAGCTCATGAGAGTTAAAAAAACTGATCAGAACGACGTGACAGTCTTACCAATTTGCAATCACTCAAGAGCTAGAATGACGTAATGGACATAAGTCACACAGCGTCTTACTAGGCATGCTGTTCCATGTCGCGTACAGAACCACATCAAGCCACGGACTTAGCAGAGGCTGGGTTTGATGCACGAGCTTCTGCGAAACGAGAGAATAAAGGGAAGACAGACGACGAGTGGAAGGAGTAGGAGATGAATGGATGGCAGTTAGACTGCCCCGTGAGCAAAAGGTATGGGAATTGTCAACTGCCTACTCAGTTTCTTTCCCCAGACTTTAATACTGACATCAATCGTTCACATCCAGCGCTGAGGTGATACGGAGGACCAGCAGATTTATTGTGAAATAGAATAACTCCCTTGCCTCGTAGGCATATCAATCAGTCTCACTTTTAATTCCTGCGACAGCGCGCAGTGACTGTGTCCTCAGACGAGGAAAAAAATGTCATCGAACGCAAGCTCCCGTAGACATTCACGACTCAACATTCACAACCATACATTGATAACATCTCGGTTGTCTGCCTTCGTATCTGTAAGTTGCATTGACCTCAGGAATAACGGCTTACAACAAATAGGCTTACTTTTCCCTTGATAATGGATGCTGTATAGAATGCACATTCAGCGGATCTCCACGCATCTTTCTGAACTCACACAGCCAGAGGCGCTAGGCGCTTACCTCCACGTGCAGATAATGTGTTCATTGTTCCAGTTCCAGAAGACGAATGTTCCACACTGTCAACTTTGGTTCCGCACGCTATCAGCATGTTCCGATATCTTATATGCGGTGCAGGGAGCCGTACGTTTTTTTTCCAGGTTTCACGAAGGCAATACATTGCTGTATCAATGGCGCAGGAGAAGAAGGGTAACGTACGTGATGATGTACTGAATATAAATCCACAGGACCTCGTGTCTGTTCGTTTAAATCAGGCTTCGCAAACCTTTGAAGACGAAAATTTCTTGTATCCCTTCCGACCGTTTAACGAATCTCCCAGTCATCAATCGTGAGTTTCACACCATCCATGTGAAAGTCGCCGCCTTCTAACTTTCCTAGATGACTTTTGACTCGCTGGGCGACGTTCGTACCATGAGCGCCTCTGTTGCTGCGACAGATAGCCATGACCTTCTCAAAGATCTCGTGGAAGAGGTATTCAATGAATATATCACCAATGAGATGCCCATTCGTCTACTTCACATCATCAAGAACGATCAGAAGATAATGCTTCAACTCGTAGACAGGGATTTCGTCAAGGAGCATTTTAAAGAGAAAAAGGTTACCGACAACATTCACGCCGATTTTGCTGAAAATATGGTCGTGGACGGGGAGGAGAGGGAGGATCGTATCAGAGAGCGTGTGAAGAAGGAACTGAAATATGCTATCCTCTCGCATAGATGGTTGCCGGGCAAGCAAGAGCCTCTGTATCACCAGATGTTGGAGGAACCGAAGGAAGTCCCCGATGGTCACGGGCCAGGATGGAAGAAGCTCCAAAGTTTTTGCCGTACGGCGAAGGATGTCCACGACTGCGAATTCGCCTGGTCCGATACGTGCTGCATAGACAAAACAAGCAGCTCAGAGTTGGATGAATCCATACGCTCCATGTTTCGCTGGTACAGAAATTCCCACGTATGCATCGCCCTCCTTTCGGACACAGCAGACCTCGCGGCTCTTCAACTGCAGGAGAAGGGTCAAAGTGGTGAAAAGTCAGTTGATGCTTGGTTCGAAAGAGGATGGACGCTTCAAGAGCTCCTTGCTCCGTCGCAAATCAAATTCTATGGAGCAAACTGGCAGCCCCTCATCCAAGGCTCTGCGAACGACAGAGACAGCAAAGTTATCATGGAAAAGATATCAACGCTCACGGACATCCATATGAATGATCTTGAATCATTCACACCTGGCATAGACCGGGTGCCAGAAAAGATGTTGTGGGCATCCAGGAGGCGAACGACTCGCATGGAAGACATCGCATACTGCCTTATCGGAATATTCGATATCAGCCTCATGATCACATACGGCGAAGGCAACAGAGCCTTCTTCCGTCTCATGGAGGAGATAGTTAAGAGATACGACAAATGGGACTTGTTCCTATGGAGCGGTCGTCGTTCCCGCTATAACGCAGCCCTTCCGGATGCTCCGCACTCCTACGCTGCAGGATGTATCCAAACACTTCGCGACGCAGTTCGCCAGGCCGCAAGCTACGAGTTTGGAGATAGGCGCTTTGCCTTGACCAATCACGGACTCGAAATCTGGGTGCTCCTACTGGTCGTCGAGGTAGAGGACGTCAGTGAAGATTTGCCTGACTCGAGATGTCTTACGTTCAAGCATGATTACTTTAGGGTGAAGGCGACGCACATTGGCCCAAAGCCTCACGATGTGACCTGGGCAGTAGGTGTGCTGGACTATTCCGTAGACGGTGAGGAAGGGGTCATCGACTCGGACAGGTTGCGGAAACCTCCAATCAGCGCGTTCCTGCTATCCTCGAATAAAAATGCGTCTATCCATCTACCAGCAACTGCAAAGTGGAAGAAGGAGATGACCAAGGAAGTTGTTAGAATTGATCCTCCCGGCGACCACATACAAGAACCTCTGACTCTACTGTACCTTTAGCATGGCTTTCGTTATAAACCTTTTTCTGCCCGTTGTCATGGTGTCTGCCTTGTGGGTATATGTTCTCGATATGTTGATTATTAGTTATAAGTACTACCACGATACTGTCAATTGACTCAACACTAGCCTGAGAATTATAGGCCCAATACGTGCCTGTAAGTGCTTTCCGACCAAGGCATTCATCCGTGTCCGGTCCTCGAAGCATGCATACTTCTCCTCGCTCGTCATCATCAACAGTACCTGCAGAAATAGCCGCTCTGCGGAATTTGAAGCTCCACATCCCGCCGGTCACCGGCACACACCGGCACTTTTACTGATTCTCGTTGTATTTTAACATCGGTCATCCAGGACCAGTTTGGTTGCTAGTCGTTCCGGATAATTTCACCTTACCACTTAGTTCAAACGCGGGTGCTTCGTTACGGTAGTGATACAATAATAAATAGGTTTGCCTAAACCTTTCAAATATACTTCGAAACACAGTATGAATAAATATCACGACGGATCCTCGATCAAAGTTCTCCTCCCTGCAAACCACTCGGCAACCATTTCCCTACACAATACTGCTAGTTGATATATGTACGTGCTCCTGGAAAACAATCGAATTCATACTAGTTTCTGCTTCGGAGTATGCCACGAGTTTGGCGTTGTATTCTCGAACACTAAGGATAAGGCGTGGTCCCAGCACAAACATCTGCACGACCAATAAAATTTGAAGAGCACCTTGGAGTATCAGAACTCCGATAGAATTCGAATTCTATCGAAATGATGAGCAGTAGTTACACGCAGATATCAGCAACAGGTCAGCGCACCTCGATTTCTGGAGAGAGATTAGCAATCTGGAGGCAAGAGACACCAACAAAGCTAACATGTGCGGAACTTAAGCAGAAAAATATAACCGCGTTCACGTCACAAGCTCACCTTGCAAAATAAAGAACGTGAGATTGTATCAACACTCTGAAACAGTCCCCGATGGTCGATCCTGTCGATGGGCCGAGTCGTCGCAGCTCACGGAAGTGTTTCACAGCAACCCAAACTGAAAGACACAATGCGAGGACCTCCCAAACAGTTTTGAGTATCCAAACCATTGTATACAGAAGCTGCTCATCCGTTTCATATATATAACCGCACATATACGTGCCAGAGAGTATGAACTCCTCTGGTGTTTGTCCAATGAGCTGTGTTCGTCAAATCAACAAGTAAAGCTTACCCAGTACAGCATCTTTGAGTCCTATTGCAATGATTACTCCACAGGCGATGTTTACAGCCAAGAAGATGATAACAAGGAAGATAAGCATCGTTCTAGATCCCTGATACATGGCATGCAACCGAGCAATCATGATCACTTGCATCGTGTGTCAGTCAGGTCAATGTCATAGAGGTATTGCGCCTGGGTCACTTACCGCCCAACATGGCAGTCAAGGCCCAACTTGTGCCATTTAATGCGTAGTACGGGACAGTGCCTAAAATTCGCAATTGGTGAACACCCTCGCGCTAGAATCAAAGACGCCAACTTACACCTATTGAGTCGTTATGTTGAGCCAAGTTCAATGGTTGGAATATCACTCACCCCTACATATGAGCGTATTGATTGGATGGTAATGAGATGGTTGCGGAATACTTACTGCATCTAGCAATACTGATGGAATATTTTCTGTGTCTCGCCGGTCAGAAAAATGGAACACAGCGCATATGGGACATACCCAGAAGATAGACACTGATTGTCAGAGATCAGTCATTAGCACAGTGCAAAGTTGTTGATCTCGACACATACACAGAAAACGGTATTCCAATATAGCGTATCTAGAACATTTTGGAGTCAGCACAAGTTGCCCACCACGCTAAAGCGCAACATGAGGTACGAACAATCAGATACAGCATGGTCATGAGAGACCAGCGTTGTCTCTGTCGCGAATTCATTGTATGCTCTTGTTTCTCCTGATGCGGGACTCTTGTCACTCACCCAGATGAGTTCAATCTATGACACCACTCTTAGCGAGTTGGCTGCTGCGGCGATAACATCGACGTACCTCTTGTCCGAGTGTTAAAACTGGAAATATCATGAGAACATCAGCGGTTTTCGAACGATGTCCTACTTACCCCAATCGTATACCACCACGACGCCCGCTGCAACTGCGAAACTGCATGTCAACGTTGGATCTAGACATCCTGATGCGACGAACCCATCCAATAGCTTACAAAAATGTTCAAATCGATTGTCGCCCACCAACTGGGATCATTTGAGACTATGGGCATGTTCGAGGGATCATCGGGTGTGAGCGAGTGGGGAAGGTTGATGGTGTTGCCGTTCCAGAATTCACAGTTGTTGACGCGGGTGACTGATTATTATCGGAGCGAAAGGTTCACATAAGGAAGGTTCGAGCCTAGGACAGATGGCCGAGCGGTCCAAGGCGCCAGACTAAGGAGAGAACCAGCTCATTTGATGAGCGTATCATCTGGTCTCTTCGGGGGCGTGAGTTCGAATCTCACTCTGTTCAGATGTTTGTTTTTGTTCGATTGCGTTCACTATGTAGTAACTGAGCAACTTGTGTAGGGTAGGACTCCCAGGGTGGGGGTATGTCACGGTTCCATTCCCAACCATAACATCAATGTTGCCTCGTCATCATCCTCGCAATTGCAAAACCTCAACGTCATCTAGAATAGCCTGTAATATTATTGCTTGTTCGGTCTAATCAAACTCGTCGAAATCCAAAGTTTTTTCCTCGAGCACTTCAACTTCATCGATGCTCTGAACTCCTTCAGTCCTCTTCAACTCTTCGAGAGCCGCAACTTCAGCAGCAATGTCATCAGGCAAGATACTCTCTGGACCAGCAATAAGGTTATCTGCATCATGAGGCTCGATCGAGAGCGGAGGTGTCTACGCAAAGGATACTCCAAAATTATTTACAGTCTCGACAGCAATGTCAATGTCTTCGTGAGTGTGCATGTGAGCATGTCAACAGCAGTGGACTTCTCAGCCTCCATGGCTTTTACGGCGCTGTGTTGTCGAAGGTTCGTACAAATATTATTCAGTGTTTCAAATGTGTCAACTAAGAGATTACACCGTTGTGCAGATTGCGTTGTGCCGAAATCAGAGAACGTACGCTCTACTTCGCCTGCATGCCCTACTGCAATTGAGAGGATCGTCACAGCAAAGATTTTGAAGGGGTGAGTTTCGGAATTGATTGGAACAGCGATGCGAGGCGGCGTCCTCCAGCATATACCATCTTACTTCAGGGACGTCGATTTTCATGTTCTATTGAATTTAAATTGTGTTATAAGATCTAAATTATGTCTCCGCGAGTTCTGCCAACAACACTACTGGTATCAGTCTTCTTCAAGTAAACCCCGGGCCTTCATTCATTGGCATGTCCTTCTCTCACCAACCGATTCGTTCTACGAGAATAACTAATTTTGGAGCTCAATGATTCAAACTGTTCGGGGCTGAATAAATAACTCCACATCTGTTACCAGCCAAGGCCTGCGTGCTCCGAGAGCGCACATCTTGGGCTAAGGGAACGTGTCTTGATCGTTCCGTACAAAATATGAACACCATGAGATCTGCATGTCTTTTGAAGCCCGTTTAAAGCATTGATACTTCGGCTTCCCAACATGCACGGTTTCTCCACAATCAAGCATTTGCCCTATGCATAAACGGTCCGCCAGTCCTGGTTACTAGCCACTGGCAGCGTACGCCGCACGATTTCTGCTCTTTATCATCAACGATTCTGCTGAAGTCGAACGTGTGTGTCATAGAGCGCATCAACACACGGCTTTCAAAAGATCAAGGCGTAGCAGAAAACACGAAAAGGAACTTCAAGAGAGGGCCAAATCAAAAGGTTCGGTCTTCTTTTCCAAACATAGCATAACGGTATCAATGATTTAGCTAGGGACCTCCGGCACCTTAAAAACTTGAATGGCTCAAAAGTTAGGACGAGCGTAGTGGATGGAATCAATGCTTGCCGTATTTCAATCCCTGTCCAGAATACATCTCACGTCGAGGGCGATATTGATGGGCGCGTGCGAGATGAAAGAATGAGAGAGAGCAATTGAGGAGATTAAAGGGGGAAACACTGGAACACAGTTTGGTGAGTGGGCAGCTAGATTGCACCGTGAGCAAGAAGCAAGGAATCTACACCCGCCTAGATTTATCTACTGAGTTTTTTCTTTCGATACTAGCATCTACAGTGCATTTCAGAGCCGATGGGTGGATGACCAGGACTAACAGGTCTGTCATAAGCATGTACTTACATGGGTACTTTTTTTCCTAGGTCGATTTTTCACTTCCCGCTACTGAACGTTGAACACTTACAGCCGAGTCCAGACCATCGAGAGAAATCTCTCGTCGGCTGGTCACGATGTAGTACATGCATGTCTACAACATCCCAGCGGTCTGCCCTTTAGCCCGCAGTACGGAAGATGGAGATGTCGAAAGTTGTATTGATTCAAGCTTTCCGAGGAACTACAGCTTAAAAGTACCAGAACACGATGGTCAAGGGTACTAATCTCAATTCTTGATGCAGAGCGAAATGTACTTCTTACCGGCATTGGGAGATGTTGGTGTCAAGTCCTTCAGTATATAATTCGAGCCTGTTCCTATGTATAGGTTATAATTCATGATGTATTGGTTACTGTCCATCCGTCGCAGTGACAAGTTTTATCTTCTTAGGTCGATGAGGGCCAGACTCGGTATTGAACGAGGCAAAATTTCAAACTCGGTTTTGACATTGAATATTGAGGGGTCAGCACACCAAATTATATAAATCGTATTCTGCTCCTAAACCAACACCATTATTTTGCCCGATCAAAGGGACGCATATGTTTGTCTGGAACGAGAGAAAATGTGTAATTGACTCGGATGGGTGGTACATATGAACGCTCGAGACGCGTGAAACAAAGCATCGACAAGATAGCGAGTAATGTCGAGTGCTTCAGACTCATGATAGAGGTAACCTTGGAGTTTGAAGATAGTCCTGCACGCAGTTCAGGTTGCAAGGTTAGAAAAACATCACTGGAATAGTAAATGGGATAGTGACACACCTGTGCAAGTTTTTCCCCCTCGCGTAGAATAGTGAGGCAAGAGCGCAGATCCTTCAAACACCACTGCCTTTCAAGCCAGGAGAGGAGGTTACGGGTCCAGAAAGACTGGAATATACAGGCAAGCCTCTCGTCCCGCGGGTTCGGAGCTCGAGAGAGATGGAGGGCCCAGTTTTGACATGCATACTTCAAAACATCGGAAGTTGATCGACTTCGTTCCCATGCTTGGCTTGCGAAATCAATAAAGGCCACCATTGCATGGATGGTCTGCACGTCCGGTAGAAGACGATTGTATGTTGACGTAAAGGTCGAATGATTCTGGTGCCTTAACGCCAAAAAGGCCGGAAACAACAAGAAATCCGGCAAGTTCTTGAACTGCTGAATTACTTGAAAAGTGGGCTGTAGAAGCGAATCTGGGACAATAATGAAATCTCTGGTTGCTTCCAACGTGCTCGAGTATTCTTCCATTGTCACCCAGAGAGTCGTTAACCGCCATGTTTGACCCTGGGATGTCTGCAACCAGTCACGCCCACCCAGGGTCTGCAACCAATCTCTCCCTACCTGGGTCTGCAACCAGTCTTTCCCTCCTGGTGTCTGCAGCCACTCTCGTACATCTAGGGTCTGCAGCCAGTCTTTCCCTCCCTGTGTCTGCAGCCACTCTCGGACGCCCGAGGTCTGTAGCCAGTCTTTCCCTCCCTGGGTCTGCAGCCACCCTTGTGCGCTTGAAGTCTGCACCCAGTTCTTCCCATCCTGAGTTTGCAGCCAGTCTCGCCCACTCTGGCTCAGCAACCAGTGTCCCCCGACTTGGGTCTCCAACCACTGTAGCCAATGTCGCCCGCTCAGGGCTTGCAGCCAGGCTTGTGTGCCCGAAGTCTGTAGTGGCCCTCCCCCACCTGTGGTCTGCAGGCCAGCCTCGGTGGAAGAGGTTGGTGAGGGTGAGGTGTCGTCTGAGGTCTGTACAGGTCCAGATGTATTCAAGGAGTGGAGGTACGAATTATGCTCAGGCTTTTCCGGGAACAGTAGCTGGTGTCCTGTGTTAGGAGTTTGGAGCCGCCAGTGCTTCCCTCCCTCGGTCCGCAGCCAGCCCCTCCCTCCCTCGGTCTGCAGCCAGCGCTCCCCTCCCTCGGTCTGCAGCCAGCGCTTCCCTCCTTCGGTCCACAGCCAACCCCTCGCTCCCATCGTCTGCAGCCAGCCCCTCGCTCCCATCGTCTGCAGCCAGCCCCTCCCACCCATCGTCTGCAGCCAGCACTCCCCTCCCATCGTCTGCAGCCAGCGCTCCCCTCCCTCGGCCCGCAGCCAGCGCTCCCCTCCCTCAGTCTGCAGCCAGCGCTTCCCTCCTTCGGTCCACAGCCAGTGCTCCCCTCCCTCGGTCTGCAGCCAGCCCCTCCCTCCCTCGGTCTGCAGCCAGCGCTCCCCTCCCATCGTCCGCAGCCAGCGCTCCCCTCCCTCGGTCTGCAGCCATCGCTCCCCTCCCATCGTCCACAGCCAGCGCTCTCCTCCCTCGGTCTGCAGCCAGCGCTCCCCTCCCATCGTCTGCAGCCAGCCCCTCCCTCCCTCGGTCTGCAGCCAGTGCTCCCCTCCCATCATCCGCAGCCAGCGCTCCCCTCCCTTGGTCTGCAGCCAGCACTCCCCTCCCATCGTCTGCAGCCAGCACTCCCCTCCCTCGGCCCGCAGCCAGCGCTCTCCTCCCTCGGTCTGCAGCCAGCGCTTTCCTCTCTCAGTCTGCAGCCAGTCCTTCCCTCCCTCGGTCTGCAGCCACTGTATCTGCGCATTAGTTTGTAGCCAGGCCTGCCCATCCCGGGTATCCAGCCAAAATTGCAATTCTGGATTACGATGCCCCCGAAGCCATAGTAGACCAATAAGCACTTGCACTGGCTCAAGTGGCTGAACAACAAAGTCCAATGTGTGTTTTAAATTCTGAGGTCCGTGGGATTCTATACCTTGGCTATGCTTTATCAATTCTGAGAATGCGTCTAGAAGGGCCGTGCTTTCTAGAAGGTCGTGCACCATCAAGCGGAGACAGGACAGAGCGAGGAGAGAGTGCGGTGATGCGATGTTGTGTACTTGAGAGAGGGAGGAGTTTGAGTGGTAAGAAACATAGTCACGGACGGAGGAGTGGTAGATATTCACGGGGAGATTGCTTTCAGTAGGAACATCTATCACAGATCGTAGCTGTACCAGTACACTTTCGACGTCCCTGCCCTCACCAGGGCCAAGAAGTTTTGAGATTTGTGCCATCGGCAGAGGGTCTGCAAGGGCAGCGATAACAGACAAGTGCAGGTATGCGAGTGTTGGGTCAGCGCATGTGGAAAGGATTCGGTCGTACAACTTGTACACCTCTGTTCCTGGTAGCAGTTCGCTCGTTAACTCGAGCATGAGCTGAAGTCGATCGCGGGGATCGTTGTGTCGATCATCGATAAACTTCATCATCGTGGACGCCACAATAAAACGTCTGCCTGCTCTGCTCGCCAGCCGCGCAAGTTCATCAGTCGATGGCTGTGGAAAATCGGGATGGCGAGTGCCCAGCTCTCTGAATGAATGCTGCAAGAAAACATATATGTCATTGTCAACGTCTACACCATCTAACGAGATAGTGGCAGCGACCCCCTCCCCAGAAGTTCTCACTGGTATCTCGCACACCAGTGGACGTATCTCTTCTGTCTGCATAGCTTTGTGAATATACTCTTCCGAACGACTCGTGAGCAGGATGTGGGTGATGGGCAGACCAGGCTCGCGAAGAGCTTCGCCAAGTAAGGAGATGAGATCAGTGAGCTCGCTCTCGGATGTGTCGTCCTCGGGAGATTCAGAAGCGCATTCGTCAAGGGCATCAATAACAAACGTCAAAGGCGGGCATTCACGCAGTCTGAGTTTGAGCCTCTGGAGGGGTTGAAGAAATAACGCCTCCATCTGGTCGCGAAGAGATGTGTCGTGATCTAGCAAAGTAGGATTGTCGAGGATGATTCTATTCACGTCCTCCCGGATGCTGGGAAAATTGCTTGCAAGCTGGTAGATAAGGGTCGCGAAGAAATAACCAGTTGTGCGGCGCTTCGTGTGCTTGCGCGAAAAAAAGAAAGTTCCTGCAAGCCGCTTTTCCTTGCTTCCTTCTTTCACTTTCAGACCTCTCATTCTTTCGGCTACGGTGAATGCAACAGCAGATTTTCCAACACCCGCTGTGCCATGCAGCCAGATGAGTTGACTGTTTCCTTGACGGTCCAGTGACTCGTAGATGTAGTTGAGAAGGACCACTCTGGTCCCTTCCAAACATTTCGGATGGGGCTGACGCTCACGAGAGTCATATTGGGCACCCTTGACAGCAACCTGGGCAAGCTTTTCCCAAGTTCCTTCAGACATATTATCTAAGAGTTGTCAAAAAGGTCAAACGGCGAGACATAAGGATAATAATACTGACATGACACTTTCAGAAAGGATTATTGGTACGTAACTGACTGCCGTTTGATGATTGATGGATATCGATGATCGATAAGTGACTGCACCAGTGCACTTAGCACTGAGTCCAAGACTCTAAGTCCGTGCGATTCGATTACCTGAAAAGTTTCTGCTTCGATAGTAGCCGGAAGCCACACATGCTGTAAAGTGGGAACAGTGACGGGCAACAAATGTTCAACCAGATACTGATCACTTGAAGTGCTCGTCGCAATACCATGACACTTACTAACCACACTTACTAACCACTCGGACGATCTTGTCGCACGCACACTGCGCGCAGAACGAGAGAAGTACAAGAACGAGAGCCCACAAAGAGTAAATGTCGTAAAGCAGATTGACTGTAAAATAGTGTCCACAGTCAAAGTAGAACCATCATGGTTAAACGGTTGACTCAAGCTCTTCGAGCCTTTGAGGAATGAATGCCACTTATAAGAATCATAACACATGCATACATATAAATACTGAACGATGGCGCATGTGCGAAAGCACCAGGAACAGAAGAAGTTCTTCTGTCTAGAGGACCTCAAATTCCGAGCATCAGGTGCTATCGAAGTCCTCAGCGTGAAGTTGAACATAGTTCAAAAACCCAGTTTTCCTGTACCAGCCAAGGTCAGTCCGACTTCGATAATCCAAGGTAACTTACTCACCTCCCAATCTTCGTCGTGAAATGTCGCGCCAGAGGTTGACGTGACACTTTTGGCAGACACACTGGGGAAGGCGACCAATGCGGTTCGTGATTAGCATCCAACGAGGTTAATAGATAAACTATCGCAGGAAGGGCGGGTTGGTCGAACGGAACGCCATGGTTCTGGAACCCGAAGCCTGGTGGCTGGTGAAAGCCATGCCTATCTTGGTGACGGAACTGATTCGCAGCAAACTGGCGATTTGCTACATGTGTTTGCAGCATACAAGGTTTTGATCGAAAATCCCTGACATAAAAATCTTGATGGGTTCCAACATGGGTCACTGTCGTAATGGGTGAGCAATGACATCGCAAGATCGTGCAGGACCGAGAAAATACTCACCAAGGATCAAATCCTCCGGCCTAATGCCACCATCGGCCGCGTGGCCCTTGCCGTTCCTCAATAGATATTGCCATGCATCCTTGACACAAGAAAGATAGGCTTCATGCACCACCACGACATCAATCTGACTGTACGGAGGCACTGCGACGGGCCACCTTGTATACAATGTCATTATCACAATTTCTGTCAGGTAAAAAATCTCACCCTGCGACAGCTTCAGGTAACTCGTAGGCTTGGAGAGGTTGTCTATGTATCGGGATATGCTCCCAGCACCAGTGCTCGCCGTGCGACCGCTGAGATAGGCTGAGCGCAGCCTTTCCGTCTTTGATGACGTTGCTGAGAAGAACGAAGGATCCAAAGTCTCCCCCAACCGGAATGTAGCCGATGTCACCGACAGAAAACTTATCAGCCGGCACGTTCCTCTCGTACCATGTATGACCATGAGCGCCTTCAGCATTCCAAGTGAGGTCCCGTATTTGTCGCAGAGTCAGTGAAGGAGTCTTAGACTCTGTTTCTTCGATCAATGCTTTTAACTGTGTTGGGAGTACGGGAGACTGCCTTCCGCTGGGAAGCAGGGCTCGTGCCAAAGTGATGAGGTGGTTGATTTTCTTTTGCATCTCTTCCGTCACTGCAATGATGTGAGCGAGGGTTTCATCATGAGCTTGAATTCATACCAAATTCCTCCCCTCTGTCATATGAGTACGTGACGCGCCCGTTGTTTGGCAACATCTTGCACGTTCCTTAGTATAAAGCTCAAAGCATACGAAGACGATACTTACTCGCAAACACGCATCTAGCAGTGTATGCGCTAACCTGTAGTTTCGTGCAGTATACCACTCGCCGTCCTGAGGAGGCGGCAAACCAACCACAAGAGTTTTGAGAGAATCGACTCGCAATGAGGAAGCCTGCACGATCATAAATATGAGTCGCAAGGCAAATCAGGCGACGGACCTCGATAAAATCCTGAACCTTATTCTCATCCAGGCTGAGTTGTCTCTGAACGTACATTGCTGTGTCCTAGATAGCTATTAACAAAAGAACGACGGCATATTTGTGGTGAATCATTCACAGCAAGGTCGCGATACTGTATCTCGCCGTATCAAACGCTGATAACCTAACCAAAAGAAAGACCTTACAAAACGCAACATGAGCTCTATCGAGGTCCCTAGACTTGATGAGCATAGCATTTTGCGAACCAGAGCTTGAGGGCTCTGCGTCTGAACTGTTCTTGTATTAGATGGCACGTCACGAACACTCGACAGGATAAATACCATTCGCTAGCAAGATAAAAGGAGTCGGGGCTCGTTCATCCGAAAACCCAAGCATCTGAGGTAAATTGGGGTGACTAGAAAATGAGACTAGGTGGAATCAAAGTGCTTCATGTGACATACTAAAGATTCTGCAGCATCTTGACGTCTCGCAGCCATTTCTGAAAACCCAATTTGAGCAATACTCCGTAGATGCGAACATGACCACGTTACAGAATATGCATTGTCCTTGTCATCATCATATTTCTTGACCAAGGCTCGTTGCCCTTGTACCTGGACTTCCGTTGCACCAGCCCACCATCCGTCCTGCAACCGAGACCGGCCGCGCAAGATAACCTCTGACTGGTGATATCGTCGAAACTAGTGTAGTATACGATGCATGCATGAGCAAGCCAAAAAACGCAATGGAACTTATTGCTAACCCCATGGTCATCTTCTAGGGTCAATGATAACAGTTCCGCAGGGAGATAATGGTCTGTAAATCTTTTTTCGGGTGGTGATAAGGGTTCCCCTCCTGCCGTCACCGGAAGATCGGATTCAGCAACTATACACTCAGCTGCATCGCCGATCCCTGGGCTTCGTATCTCTATGACCGAGTCTGGTTTATTCAAAACCTCATGATAGGCAGGCGGAGGTGGAGCATCGATGACTCTTTCAGCTGTTGCGTTCGAAGCAGTATTTCCTCTCAGTGAGCTCACGGCGAGGTGTATATTGATAAGAGTAGCGAGCTTCGTCGCAAGGGCTCTTCAGTAATTGGAAGCTGAATTCAACACCACACACACCTGAAAAGCCTGCGCTGCCTCATCAAGCATGCGCATGTACTCGACCAGAGCGTCGTCAATCGACGACTTACGGAGGAACCTATCACTCCACTTTGAATCGGCCAACTTTCTCATGAACTGATGGATAGAAATCAGGGTGCTGTCGAGAGTTGAGAAAACGATTGGTCAAGAATCGTTTTAAGATAACAACCAGGTGTACCTTTCAAACCTTTCCAAATTCCTAAGAAGTGCCTCCGGAGCTTCATGGTATCGTCCACGCATTTGTTCGTCGATGTCAATTAGTATTTGTGCAGCACGACGCGCCAAGCGATCACAAGCGGACTTGTTAACTTGAATGTTCTACATGAAGGTGAACATAAGTCAAAGCACACGAAAACATGTACATTTCAAGTATCCACTCACCTGGATAGTTTGCAAGATGAGTAGCAAGACTGCGACAGCGGCACTGGCTGGAGGAAACTGCATGGTTGCCATGAGATCCCTGGCGAAAGTCGTAGTAGTGATTGCTGCTTGCAAAGGGTCAATATCAATCCCTGGCTTTTTCATACGAATGAATCTAAGTGGCATAGTGAAGAACTTGAAGTTGATTGAGAGTAGTAGTTGGGTTGTTGTACCGAAGGGACAGCCCAGGGACGTGGTATACGAAAAAGCAAGTCGGGAAAACGGTAGTAGCTTAACTGAGACCTCGTGGTGTACCGTGTAGACTGATATCACAGAGTATCACAGACGAGAACTGTAGACACATCCGTCATGCTGCTATGCATGAGAGTTCAGCGCTCAGCGGAGATAACAAGGAGGTCGCCAGGTCAGACCGTCAGCACGAGCTCTGACAGTCAATGTACCTTAATTATACCTCCACAAAATTGCATTTTATTACTCGAACGATGCATGGACAATGACAGAAAATTTTGGCTAGTGTCATTGAAATTATAGTGATCGCATCCATATGAGTGTCACGTTTCTGAGTTGAACAGGGAGAGCGGAAGACAAGAAAAGCTATCGAAAATAACTCAGCCTTAACTCAAGATTTAGCTATTTATAGAAGTTCATTCCCGTAAGTAGCACGAAATAATATCCCGTCATTGTAGCAGGGTTAATCCAGAGGACTGCTCTTACCACGAACGTCAATTAATGTAGCCACTAGGTGCTCGGTTTCTTGTTTCTTTCTCCCCTGATTTGATTGCCCATCTCAAGTGCTCGTTTCCCTTCTAACCAAAGCATCGCCTCTGCCATTCCACAATTTATCATTCAAGAATCCATTTGAAATGTGCTTGCCCATACCTTGATAAGTCTTCGGGACGACTTGTCTAACGACCGCTGCACCATCATCCGGATACCAAGTGAAGCGGAAATCGTTAGTGGTCTGCTCCTGTCCAGTCCGCACATCGACAACATTAGCTTGGACCCCAACATGCTGAAAGACAAACAGAAATTTAGAAGCGAACGGAAAGAAGATTTAGACTTGAAATGTACCACTACACCAGGGAGCTCCCCGGGAGGGGTAGTATGAAGAATTTGCGAGGTCAACCGTAAAATAGATCCTATAGGAACGGGTTTGGCGAAAGAGATACTGTCCAGTGACATGAATGTTACGTGCGAACGTGTGAAGAGTGATGCATTCGCGAAACCAAGCTGAGAGCACTATATCAACGACGTGGCTAGCAGCATCAGTAATCAACACACCTCATAAGCAAGTCGCATGAGATAGCCTTCATGAGATCATCAGTTTTGTACAAGGCAGGTTCAAAATAGTCACCTCCGAAGACTTTCTGGTGGACACTTCAAACATGTTATCAAGGCCGCATAAAGACAATGCCGAATAAAAACTAACTTGCGTTCTTGAGGAAACATGAGCATGGTCTTCTCCAAATTTGTCTCGCCCATCCAAACGCGTTCGTAACCGGACAGACCATTGTCTTGAGCGTATTGCAAGTACATTGAGTGCAATTCTTCCGCTTCGGTAGAACTGGGAGGCACCCTAGAAAGAGAGCGAAGGGCTAACGATTGTCTGCGCTTCTTTGCATCTAGTACCTGTCCTCAGCGGATCCAACGAAATGTGTGAGACCGGGACGCACTTTCGCCTATCGAATACAATGCAGTCTCTTCGCGCGAACCAAGTATGAGTGGGTTTACCGGCCGAGCTTTGCGAGTTTGTGCATCCCTGCATACCATAGAGAATCGACCTGGAGGAATGGCGCTTCTCAAGCTAAAGCTCCGACAATGAGTGATTACTGACCGAGTAGCAGAGTATCTTCCACACCGCTTGCACCAAGTGCTTCCATCTTTACAGCCACCTCCATCGAACTAGTCCCAGTGTAGATGACCATGCCACTCAAACGGATATCCCTGACAGGCGAGAGAGGGGCGAGAACGTCCAGTCTGGGTCAAGTTTTAAAAGCGCAGTTTAACTTTACCTTGACGTCCACTAACCTATCGACAGAAGCGGTGACCATGTAAAAGCCTCTTTCACGTATACGACCAATTGTTTCCACGTCTGGTCCCAACATATGCTTGTAAGATATCGATCCAGCCAGTGAGTCAAGGTGCTCCATAAGCATGCCAGTCCGAAGTCCACCCCATGCGTTAGTATACCGCTCAAGCAACTCCGGAGACGACGCAAACGGAAGAAGAATTTCGGCGTATGTATCGTGCATGTACCGTGGAGGAAGCGGTTGTTCGGGTGCAGGAGCTTCTATGGGATGGTCCTCACTGGAAGACTTCGACGCCGAGGTGGCATTCAAGAGTGCCTCTGACCACAGGACTGGTGTCCTCAATATGATACTAGATTGTGATTAGCTCTGATTTTTGCCGCGTTTCAACATAATCCGTACTTGTGGTAAGCGGGATTGGCCTTCTCGCCTGCAAAGCCGCCAACTCGACATTAGCAATATCGTCAAAACACTCGTTTTGATACTGACTGACGACTTTGAGAAGATCATCCAGCGCTTTGATATCCTGTGTTTCAGTTGCAGCTTTGAGTTCTGTTGAGGTAGTTGTTGCATCGACTGTCTTCCCTAATTGCGCCGGAGAAGACGATATTGACCGCTGAGAGGGGGCGAGGACATATTTGAATGATCTGGTAGGAAGATGCCGTCCTTTCAGCGAACGGAATGCAAACATACTTCCAAATGCTCGACCAGTGGATCAAAAGATTCTATACGGTCACCGCCTTGAGAACGTCGGAAGGCATCCGTGGACCGTGGATCCAACACCTTCTCCAAGAGTACTAGTTAAGTACTAGGCTTGAGTTGGGCTTGAGTACATTTAAAATAGAGACATCTTCGGCTTAAGATAAGTTGCCGGGAACCGGAGCCTCAGATCTGTCACGTTATGAGTTGGAATGTAAATTCTAAGGCTCTAATCTAAGTACAACTGTAGTTCCACATATCCAGCGTATGATTCTAACGACAAAAACTGCGCCAGTCTACTGATCAATTCTTCCTGGCAAAAAGCTCACCAAAGCATACCTGCAGAACATAGTTCAGCGCTCAGCGTCCAGTCAGTGATTTAAAGTTGTGCGTAACTCACTTTCCGCTTGTTCTCCACTTTTCGCCTTTGTTATCAAGATTCTCCGCTACTTTCTCATCTATGCCCACCGCTACGTCAGCCTTATTCGTACGAAGACTGAGAAGCGGGAACGATCCTGCCAGTGGGCCTGCCAAATATCATTCTTGAGCAACGACGAAAAGTATTTGTGGATTACTGACCGATCGCGGTTGGAAATGGAGTGGACACAGGCCACTTAACATCACCTGCAAGTCTGACGTCGGGTCGCAACAATGTTACAGATATTAAAAACCTAAAGATACACTCACTTGCGGTAGCTTCGGCGCAGCATGAGAATTCAGGTCTGGAGATCAGTATCGTAATGAAATCTACTCACTTGAGGTCCCCCTAAGACGTGCATATTTCGAATGCTAAGTCTTTGGAAGTTGACAGGTGCTACTCACTTTGAAAATGACCAAGCCAGAACCACTCAGCCACTGCCCTAACTCCGGTGCTAGTTCGTTCATGTTCCAGTAAGGCCACGGACCATTCCAAAACTCCGTCATTTTCTGTCCATTGCTAATATCTGTGGCGAGAGTGAAAATACCCTTATCTATATAATCTTTCCATCGAGTGACCATATGCTGCAAGTGGGCAATAGAATCTGGAGTAGTTGTGGAGTTTGGTGGAAAGAATGTGGGAGAAAGTAGAGACGAAATGGTGTTCGCAAAGTCGGTAGGGGTGACATCAGAAACGAACCATGGGAACAGTTTTGGACTTGTGAATGTCGTCAGTGGTCATGATCGTTCTAAAGTTAGAATCTCACGACAACGTACTGGAACACGACTTGAGAGAAGTATGGAGTGTAAGTGACCAAAAAGTCCGCAAAAACGAAGTCTGTGAATAGCTGTATTTCGAGGTTACTAACATTACTTGCAGAAACGATAAATAACGAACCTCAAAACCAGCTGTTCATAACAAATGATCAGACACAAGAGCAGTGAAAAGTGGTGAAAAGTACCGTTGTCTAGCACAAAGTCCAAACGCTTTCCTTGATTGGCCAGAGTTTTGATGTAACTCCAAACAGCACCTTGGTCGTCCTTAAGGATGAAATCTGATCGAGCTTCCTGAGCCTCTTTACCGACCGTCTGCAGGTGCTCTATGTCCGACGGCGAGAGGTGCGTCAGGAGGGAAAGATCCTACAATATCAATGTTAACGATCTGCGAAAAGGAACCACACGGCAGACTTGCTGTTGCATTGCCCCTAGATCGAGCGTCTATTAAAAGCCACGAAAACAAAAATATAGACCAACCAAAGGCACATCTGAATCATCTCCTTGAACAATACTTCAAGTTTATCGGAATCCCCTTGAAGTTTGACCTTCCCGCTTTCTAATTCGTGCATAGTGGTTGCGATTTCTAGCAAAAGCACATCATGTCAGTCATACTCGAGAAATTCGGGGCCTGGTCGAACATACGATAGATAGCTGCTCCGCTGTTCTTGAACATTTCTTCCTTTTGAGTAGAAAATGGGTCATACCCGCGCCAGGATGTTCTCTGGTTAAAATACGCGCGGATCAGACGGTATCTATATGTGTCTAAGCATGCAGTAGCTCCTGTTCGAGGTGACATACAGGTAGCATCTGCATGTATAATTCAGCGATTTGAAGTTTATGGGGCAGATATGACCTACTCTGCATACAACCATGGTGCCCTGAACCAAGTGTCGCGGGATGTCTGTTTCAGACTTTCGAGTTCCGCATTATATTCGGCGACCAGAATGTCCCCATCCTGAGGTATGTTTCTGTGTCATATGATCAGGATATTGAGGGATCTAAAATACGTTGAGGAAAGACGATAGTCATGTTCTACCCACTCGAGATCGTGGTCCCTTGCCATTCGATACTTCAAACGGCTTATTTCTGAGATAATTTCTTGCCCCTCTGTTATCTTCTTAGACAGTTCTTCTGCCTTGGAAGCGTCGGAATCGCGGACTTGTTGAATTTCTAAAGTCATGTCATGGAGAAGACGATGCACATGATCGATGATGTTTGTCAAGATGATGGGCCACCTCTTCACTACTGTGTCATATCTCGATGGACAGCCAGTCAACCACAGACCTCTCGGAGCGCGAGCGAAAGGAGACTCACGAGAATCTGGATGATTAGGCCCATCAGCCTTCTTCTCACGTCGTGCGCAAGGGTCAACTCACCCAGATGTATCAGTTGGATCATAAGGTGGGTATGGTGCTTGGAACATCTTGTAGCTCGTGGATTATGTTCTCTTCGACCTTGTAAGAAGAGAACCAAAGATGTTGGTGATCGACTGATCAATTCAATGATTGCGAACTTGAAAGACTAGCTCAAAACTGTGGGAAATAGTAGCAGACTTCTTTCTATAGCCGATCATGGGGATTTCTCTATCCACACGTACACCCAATATACTTGATTATACCCTCTTGAGGTCGAGCTAGGTTGTATAGAAGTCGCGGGTGGCCGCACCTCGGACAGGCTAGGCGATAACGTGCAATTGAGACACATGAAACATATCGCCAACGATTTGACTACGCGTGACATAATAGACGCGGGCACTGAGCTCGGATTTCTATGGAAGACTCCGTCAATGATGATAATACTAGGCTCAGTAGACTTGGGCTGGGGGAAGCAGACGCTGGACCTGCGTGGCAATCTAAAGTTCCAAAGTTTCGGGTCTTGGTTCACTCACCTTCGAAGCGCACGTCGGGTCTTTCAGGAGCATATACCATGTATACATCCCACCGATCTCTCCTACCCGCATAACAGTTCAAGGGCGGTTCTCTCACTTCATCGTGTTACACACTTCACCAACTAGACGTCTTCCTGGTATTGCGCTCCCACCACTTCCTGAGAAACAGTATGCTGGGCGGTCCAGTGCTGATATTGTCAAGGTTCGTAGAGGCGAACTCGAGAGATATATTGGGTATTGTGAGGCACCCTGTTGCACGATATGCCGAAGTTGTCACGTCTTTTCTTGGTTGCGACAATGATGCGGTGAGCGTGAATGATAGGTTTACTTTTGCTGTTTAACCCATGTTCAAGGATTGGAAACGGCTTATGCCCTGGCAATTACTTTCAATGCCTGCTGCTGGGCCTTCATTCTTCGCACACGTTTTTCATCCCGCATTCAACGTAGATGTGGACGATGCCACAGAAGTAATCGATTGCTTCAGTCGTCACACCCTTGCAGTGGGCAAGGGCACGCAGAGTTTGAGTTTTTGGTCGCATTCGTGAAGTGAGACTAGGTGAGTACGGGCGTCAGTTGTGCCAAATTATCATCATCGTGCTTTCCATAGATGTCGAAAGCCGAACGATTGTTGTCGTACTCATTATTGTCCTCGATTACGTCGACACCTTTGTCGTCTACTCCCCTGGGGATTGACGAAGATCCGGGGGACACCCCTCAACAGAGAAACGGGCTCTTGAACGAAGAAGGAGCTTGGTGTTGGCGTGAAGGCTGTCAAGGTGCTCACGTGAATTCCTGAGTTCATGACTAACTGAGACATGACTCGAAGGTTGTCTGAAGCTCACAAAAGCGATGCAGAAAACATCAGATGGTCTGCAGATTGTTGCAGACCTGTATGAAGATCATGTCTGTGTCATGTTCCTCATGCAAGACTTGTACTAACCACAGACGAAGGCCTGGCGTACCCAAAAATGTACGTCTTGGGTCGCGTCTTATTGTCCTTCTTGAAGTGATATTTGCTCGTCCCTTAGGGGTTTTGTTTAAAAGGTGCCCTGTCGTTTGGCTCGCGTCCTCGAAGAAGATCACTGCCTTCCTGGTGACGGGCTCCATGCCGTCCGAGACTATCTACATTACTATGATACTCTTTACTACCCTCAATGTCATCTTGTATGTTTAAAACACTCGAAAACTTTGGCACGTGGCTCAAAGTCTCTCTTGCCTTGCATTTTCCTGTGTAACCTGTTGCTCTTCCACCTTTTAGCAGGGGCTCCAACAGAATATCGTGGTTATTAGTAGTTTGATAGGTATGCTTGAGGTCTTCTGACTTGCAAAACTCCAATTCTCTAATTCTCCAGTCCCCACTCAGCAGACCTCATCTCCTTGCCATGCTCATTCGTGATAGAAGCATACGTTGATCCAGGAGTCCGCGCGATTCATTCCTTTTCATTCTCCATGGCCCAGATGGAGGAAAACGCATCTGAGCGCCAATGAGTTATCAGCCACAGGAATTCACGCTTCGCAGTAACTTCATTATCATCTGTGTGCTCAGATAGCGGAACTCCGCAAATGCGTAGAATTTGCTGTCTCGGCAATTTATACTGATTCTCATTGTGTTTTAGTATTGGGTGTCAAGCTTTCAAGGACTGGGTTGGCTGTTAGACATTTTGAAACACTATATGTTAAATAAATGCCTCGACGGATCCTCGACCCATTTTCTCCTCCCTGCAGACCACTCGCCAAGCATTTCCTTACACAGTACTGCTAGTTGATATAAGTACATGCTCCTGGAAGACAATCGAATTCATGCTATCTTCTGCGTCGAAGTCGGCCACGAGTGTGGCGTGGTATTCTCGAACACTAAGGATGAGGCGTGGTCCCAGCACAAACATCTGCATGGATAGTAGAATGTCAGAAGGACCACCAAGTATCTGAACTCCAATAGTAGAATGTGTATTCTACAGAAATATTGAGCAGTGGTTACAAGCAGAAGTCAGCGACAGGTCGGCGCACCATGAGCTCTGCAGAGTGAATAGCAAGCTCGAAGCAAGAGAGGCAAACAAAGCTAGCATGTGCGAAACTTGAGAAAAAGATAACCACATTCACTTCACAAGCTTACCTTGCAAAATAAAGCACGTGAGATCTTATCAGCACTCTGAAAAAGTCCCCGGTTGTCGATCCTATCGATGGGCGGGGTCGTCGCGGGTCACGGAAGTGTTTTACAGTAATCCAGACTGAAAGACACAGTGCGAGGACCTCCCAAACAGTGTAGATCATCCAAAACATCAAATACAGAAGTTGGTCGTTCCCTTCATCTTTGTAATCGCACATGTGCATGCCAGAGAGCATCAGCTCCTCTGGTGTTTGTCCAATGAGCTGTGTTCTTTATGTCAACAAGTAAAGCTCACCCGCTACAGTGTCCTTGATTGCTATTGATCCAGTGACTGCGCAAGCAATGATAACAGCCAAAGAGATTGCCAGAAGGGAAGTGAGCATCATTCTAGATCCCAGATACATGGCATATAAGCGAGCAATCATGATGACTTGCATTGTGTTTTAGTCGAGTCAATATCACAGGTATTACAGCTGGGTAACTTACCACCCAACATGGCATATATGACCCCAAATATCCCATTCAGAGCGTAATTCACAGTATTACCTAAAACACTCAATTAGTGAACGCCCTCGTGCTGGTATCAAAAGCTCCGACTTACACCTATATTATGTTGAGCCAAGTTCAACGGTCAGAATCTCACTCACCACTAAACATGAGCGTAGGAATGAGATGATTGTGCAATACTCACTGTATCCGTCAGCGAGACCAATGGCAAATCTCCTATGTGCCATCAGCCTGAGTCAAAAGGATCGAACACAGCACATATGAGACATACCCAGAACACTGACACTAATTGTCAGAAATGAGTGATTAGCACAGTGATAAGTTGTGGATCTCGACACATACACAGCATATGGTATTCCAATATAACGTACCTAAAACATATCAGAGTTAGTATGAGCTGTCAACTAATAGTATAACATAAGGTACGAACAACCAAATACAGCACAGTCATGAAAGACCAGCGTTGCCTCTGTCGCGAATGTATTGTGTTCTCCTGTTTTCTTCTAATACGGGAATTTGTCACTCACCCATATCAGTTCAATCTATGACACCGTTCTCAGCAAGTTGACTGCTCCGACGATAACATCAACTTACCTCTTGTCCCAGTGTTAGTACTAGAAATATTATGAGAATATAAGCAGTCGTCGAACACTATTCCGCTCACCCCAATCATATACTACCATGACGCCGGCAGCAACTGCGAAACTGCGGGTCAATGTTAGAACTAGGCATCTTGATGTGACGAACCTGTCCAATAGCTGAAAATAATGTTTGAATTGATTGTTGGCCACCAACTGGGATCATTGAAAATTACGGTCATATTTGAGAGATGAGGGTGAGCGAGTGGGAGATGTTAGTGGTATATAGCGGTACTTCCGTGCTGAATATATAATCAGTTGAATTTGATTTGAAAACCAGTACTATTGCGCAGGCCATCACTTGAATACCAAGAAAGCTCCAGTCGTTGGTGATGCCGGCAACTTATTTCCAACGTGATTTTGTGCTGCAAGCTTGCAAAAATAGAGGAGTTCCTTGTGAAATCGTGTAGTCATCGATGCAACACAGCTCAAGCTTCAAGCGTGATGTTGGGTGAAACGGGCAACACGCTCTGTTCAGCCTCGCTGGCTGAGTCTGACTGTCTGATGCGTAACAGCCCTCCAATTACTCATACGAAACAAGGGCCATTCTGCGGTATAGCACCAGAGAATGACACAGTGGGCCGAAGTAGAGCAAATAGTATATCTCACCACCCACTAGATTCAATGCATCGTGCACTTGATTGTTATGGTGATGCCCAGTGAAAAGTCGCAAGAGCCGGGGAGCGCGCCAGCGAGGCTCAGCAAAGAGTAAACGAGGAAAACGAGTGAGATATAGACACAGCGAGAAAGCCGCTAAACGATACAAAGCTTATAATTAGAACATACAAGCGATGACCTGCGGTCGTTGGGTTTTATGCTGTACGGCCTGTATTGACTCCAAAAGTAAAAATGGCGACCGCTAAGTCACTGTCAGGGAGAGCAATGTAGCTGTCGTATTTCCAGTAATTTTTATTGTCGTTGTGATATCTAGAAGTATTTTGAATGCCAACCAATCCGTGAAAAGTACAGCTGGTCGTGCATAGTGGTGGAAGAAAAGATGAAAAGTGCTGCACAGCATGACGGGATGGACACAATTGACACCGAGCCGGCGGCTATTCGTGCTTAGATTCACAATTTTGACTACGCGTGACATAGACCCGGACACTGAGTCAAGAATCACTTGGATACGCATAGGATATATATAAGTAGGTATGTCAGACTCCTTGTGGGTTGGAGATGCGGCCATGCCACACCGATAAACAGGAAATATTTGCACCAGTGGGCTCATACTGCACCGAATTAGTTCGTCTTTATCAAAACATCGTAGTGGCCAGGGCTACCAAATATCAGCTTGTGATAACCAAAACCTTATCGTCAACATACCGATAGATGAGAATCAACGGTTTGTTATTTCCGCCGTCTGGCGGTGTGATATCTTGGAAGTGGGCTTGGCCATCCGGAGAGTGACCATCAAGATATGCAATCCTGATGTGCAGTTTTAGAGCCCGACACAAGGCCGCCACTTGAACATGATCTATCGAATGACATCAACGACTTGAATAGATCGATGTGACTACAACTCAGTATAGTGACCTGCTTCTTTCCCAAGAGGATCGACATATTGCCGACAGAATTCAGTAGGTTCCAATTGTTCTCCTGAATCGTCGAAGAGAAAGCCAGCATAGTCATCGCTCGCGGATTGGATTTGAGCGGTAGTTAAAAGTCGCAAGTACGTGACAATACAGTTTGACGCTGGGGCGTGTCAGCTACAAGGAGGTTGGTCGTACACGAGAAACTCACTTTCGTCTTCAAGAAAGGCAGACAATAGACGTTTATGCGTCAACACTTTATTAGGGTCAAGATTCCCAATGGCATCTACAAGATCCATAAGGGGTTCGCAGAATGTCGAAATGATATCCGCGTCCATGAAATTACGTTCCATCATTCTTGAGCCTGATTCTATCACGGATTTTGCAGAATAGACGAGATTTGGCGAATCAACGAGGCTGCTAAGGTATGCGTATCCCAGAGCTTATAATATGAAATCTTGAGTATGCAAAAGACAGAAGTTGTACATTAAACTTTACCTCGGTAAAAGCAATTTCCATCACCTAGTTTAAAGGTTCGCATCAGGTTCTGCGAGTACCTGGCTTCATTGATATACTACCTTTAGTACGGATAATCTTTGTATAACCTCGATTCAGCAAGCTGTCGATCTGCGCCACAAACGATGGGGCGCCAGTGTACTCTGCCCGGAGCTCATGTATCGTCGTCGGTGGAGATATCAGAGGCCGATCTCGACCCATACTCTCCTCCAATAATTTCTAAGAAGGAAGCTGTATCAATCGTGTCCTTAGCGCAGCGCATCGAATAGCAACCAACCTGGCCTAATTCATAGAACTGAGATCTGTGTGCCCCATCATAGGTATCTGCCAAAGGATGATTACATCGTGCTACTAGTAAGCAGCACTACATACCTAGCTCTTCCGATAATTTGGCATTACCTGGGAGGTTGGATGACTTGAACTGGGCTCCTTCAGCTTCAGGTACATCAGCATTTCGTGGCCTCGCTAGAGATGATAGCACGTCGTGTGATTCGATAGTTAGACTGAAATGGTTAACTCACGAGGACTGCCAGGCAATGTAGAGCTTGAAGATTGGTTGTTCATAGTGATCTTCTGGATGTTGATTGGACGTGTGATACTACTTAAATGTCGTATATGTGTGCTGTTCTCAGTTATCAAGTTGTTATGTAGTCGGCCACCGAGATGATCAAAACGGTCTTCTGTTTTCAATAACACCAAACATGGTCAAACATTCTTGAATTCCTTAGCGGCCCGGCCGGGACCTGCTCCGAGTTAGTACTCGAAAAGTTACTACTACAGTAGTACTACATTGAACTGTAAAAGTATGGGTTGACCGCTATTATTGCGCATGTCTCCGACCTCCATAGAACCTCCAAATAAAAGTCTGTTGACCTCAGACAACAATGTTCAAAATTATTGGCCCCTTTTGGGTCGTTCAACTCGAAGAGACGAATGTAAAGAAACCAGCCAAATCCATTATACCACGTTTCTCTCGATAATTATAAATGACCAGTATATACAACCTTTTCAAAACCCTGATATATGCTACCCTACGAATGTTCCAGATGTTTGTGATGCTACAATATTTACAGATATACTATTTGCGTACTATGCTGAGACTATGCCGAGACCAATAAAATGCGATACAAATACAACCTCAGTCCACTTGCATCTCTTCTTCAGCGACTGTCCCAAGCGCGGCCAGCACACGATCTGAAACTCGAGGAGAAAGCATCGCGGAAAGTGATCGCATGCGGGCAACCGAGGCACCTCGTGCAGGGAGACTCTTGATGGGGCGTGAAGATGTTGTGGATAGGGTAGATAGATGTCGAGACGCTCCCATAAGGCGCGTCAACTCGGATACTCGCGGGTTTCCCATATTCATAGCCGAGTTCGGTCCGAGTTGGGCGGTTGGGTTTGGAAAAGCCTCAGTAGAGGTGTATGAAGGGTCCAATGCTTTGAACTCAGGCCACATTTCCGCTAGATCGTGAATCCACTGGGTATCGGGAGCAAGCAAGGCAGCTTTTGCCTGATTCTCTCGCTCTTGAATATTCGATCTCAGAGCCAGGAGTTCAGCTGAAGTAGGCATCGTGAGACATGCACGCATAATCGAGAATGAACTGGATACGTACAGCGGATGTCGCTGGAATCGTGTGGAGACGTGAGGCATTGGTTAATGATGTCAATCAAGCGTATTCGGGCGATTGAGTGCGTCGGCACAAAGTACTGTGGGTCGAAGCCCTCCTGGAGTGTCAGAGAGACGCTCACAGAACTCTCGAACATCACATCGGCAAGCTGGTGTGCCACGAAGTCAACATCTAACACATTAGCAAGCTAGAATAAAACCCATACCTCCAAGATATCTAAAAGCTATAAATTCTGTAAGCCAGCGCGTCAAAATGACTTGAGACAAAACATACCAGCTGGCGACTTTTCGCAGTAAGTAGCGCCAGGCTAATCAGAGGCATTAGGCTATCACAAGTGGAGCGATATGTTGTTATGTCTGGCGTAAAGAACTGGGACAAAAACGCAATGAATATTTCGCCTAGCTGGTCGTTAACGAAAGTTGTCCCAAGTTCAGTGTTCGCAAAGAATGCGTCTGTTTCGCCGAGTGACAAATTCTGGAACTCTTGCAAAAGGGCATCGACTTCGGAGTAAGTTTGTTCCGACATATAGTTCGAGAGATACAGGGAAGAAGATGAGAGTGTGTTGGGAGTTCTGCTGTCCATCTCGAGCATCTTTATATCTTTGGCTGCAGCGTTAGTGGCAGGGCGAAAGACCATTGTTTTGCTTGAAGCGTCCTGTGGATGATGTTTACCGAACCACAACGAAGCGGGAACGTATCACACTGACAGTGGTTTAAAGCACCGAACAAAGGGCCATTAGCATTGATCTACAATCATAATATTTTCAAACCGGCAAAGTCTCCACTCTGGCAAGGTCATATGAGGGGACGCAGTTCAAGTGTAACTGTGGTCTTGACATGTGAACCATCTGAATAGCGTAGAATGATGTCGGTTGTTTGTGGAAACAACTGATCAAACTTGAATACCAGCCACTGTGCTCGGACAGTGGAAAAGGTCTGAGCAGGAGTAACCGGCGCTTCTATTGTCCGCCTTGAAGACCACGTTTACATCACACTAGATCTAAAGGTCACGCTTGAAGCGTTGATTTCAGTATTACTAGCCACATTCCCCATTTGAACTAAAAAAACATGCCGGTTGTCACCCATCTAATAATTTCCGGCGAAACACCACTATTGTGCTGTTGCAAAAGTACTCCACAAGTCAACCACTTTTCGCTTGGTGCGCAGCGTATTGCGCTGGCGTGAAGGATTTCTGCAGAGAGAGTCGTTCAACCAAAGTAGCGTTCCAACACAAATAAGCCCACAAACCCACCTGAGAAAATGCGTGCAGCTGTGATATTTCTTGCTTCAGTGCCTGGTTGACTGTCAGACGATGAGCATCCCCGTATCATGATGAACGGCATGCTGAGACTCTCTCACTTAATCTATGTCTTGCAAGAGTAGTCTTTCCCTCGAAAGCCTGTGTGATAATTCCATTTCACATTGACTATGAGCAGCTCCAGCTCGTTTCGAACACGTACCTCGCTAACCAAGAGAATTGCATAGCTGGATCCACACCCACTCGACTGATCCTCGATGTCGAGATGGGACACAGGGAATGCAGCTCGAATGGCTCGTTCCAAATCCTCGACTGTCACAGGCATGCCAATAGTCAATATTCAATATTCAATGGTCGTGTGGAGGAAGAAAAGCGGAAGTAACTTTGTATTTGCTTGATCTGATTAGATATCAGTCGCTTATTACATAATATTCTATAGCACATTCTAGTTCAAGCACGGATAAATAGATTCAGAACCCCTAGATAAGACGTTGCTTCCAAGCACGCCATATCATCACCATATCATCCAACTCCTGTGGGATCAATGTACAGAGAACTAGCCAAAGCCGCCTTCGGGTACCCCATCATCGATAACCACGCCCACCCATTCCTGAAATCAAAGCACCGCGACTCTATCCGATACGAAGTACTCATATCTGAGGCCCACGGTGATGCCTTAGATGATGCCGTTCACACCCTTCCTTGCTTGCGTGCAGCAGCTCAGTTATCCCAACTCTTTGGATTGACAGGTGATGATGCTACCTGGGAAGGCGTTAAGAAGAAGAGGCTTGAGTTCGATTATGCAGAGTTGTGTAAGCTCTGCATGGAGCCTACGGGAATTCAGTGTATATTATTCGACGATGGCTTGGGTGGAATCGCAGAAATGGCTGAAGACTTGAATTGGCACGACCAGTACACTGGAAATCCATCGAAGCGGATTGTGAGATTAGAAGTGGAAGGCCAGGTAAGGTATCGTCATCCCCCATCTTTGAGAAACGCTCAGTTCCGATGCTTAGAACATCTTACAAGACATCCTTGTCGCAAATGACGACTCGCCTCTTTCGATCGATAGTCTGTGGGGCGAGTTCCTGAAGGAGTTCACCACCTGCATGAATGACGCTGCCGTAGACGATCATGTGGTAGGGTACAAGTCTGTCGCTTGCTACAGGTAAGTGGTTGCATCATGACTTGAATCGATGATCATATCAACTCACTTATGCGACAGAACCGGTCTGGATGTCGACCCTGCACCCTGCAGCGCAGATGAACTCTTCAAGTGCCTAGCATCTGCATCCCAGCAATTCAAGGAAAAGGGTTCCATTCGGTTCGAGCACAAAGCTTTGAATGATCACCTAGTCAAGATAGTCCTCGATATCGCAGGCAAATGCAAGAAACCTAGTAAGCGTTCGTTCCGTCCCGCGCGACGCCCTCCCTCTTACGTTGTCGAAAGTCCAGTTCCACACAGGTGCGTTGTACAACAGCGGCCCGGGTCGCATCATGTGATGCTTATCCGCCTGAAGGTCTCGGAGATAATGAAATCACGCTGACAAAGTCTTCTCCGGCGCATATGCAGCCTATCATCAAGGCGTTCCCAGACACTATATTCGTTCTCCTGCATTCCAGCTATCCTTACACGAGAGACGCTGGCTACCTCACGTCCGTGTACAAGAACGTTTATCTCGACTTTGGAGAGATTTTCCCTTTTATTTCCGCTGATGCCCAACGCACTGTGGTGCGTGAAGTGCTTGAGTTGGCGCCTACCAATAAGATCTTGTGGTCTAGTTCGTCAGCAGTCCATCTGTCACCGCACACACTACTTACCGTCCAACAGCTGATGCGGCATGGTGGCCAGAAAGGTTCTACCTTGCCACTGCCCAAGCTCGCGAGGTGATATACGAGGTGATCGACAAATTTCTTTGGGGTGAATCCTTTAGATATGAACCTTAATTTTTCAGGTCCTAGCGAGCTTCGTCGGCAAACGAGACCTCACGGAAGACCAGGCGGTGTCTATCGTGAAGATGGCATTCTTTGAAAATGCGAATCGCATCTATATGCTAGGGCTTCAGCCGAATGTCAATATTTTGTCTCCCCAGTTATAGTCACCTTGAACACACGGACGTGGGTCCAACACGGTTGGAACAGAGAAGGATTGGTGATACAACAGATTGTAATAGTCGTTCCATGGTTTAAGCGAGGTGTTTTCGTACCCATGCACTCGTTTTAGAGGCACTGAAGTATTCATCCATCGTCAAACACGACTTCTTGGCTGAGTCCTGAGACCTCCCTTGCAATCTTCTTCCTTCTTCCAAAAGTCAGAATGCAATGAAGTGAGGATGTCATATACCGATACGACACGACCATCGTATGGACTGAGCGTGATTGAAGAGGGTCCGAAAGTTGCCTGACATTGAGATTAAATGGTGGAAAACAATATGGAGTGCCTGAGTCGAGCGCTTTTCCCTGGGCAGACCATAACAGACGGGAGACAGTCGTTCATAGCTTGTGGGTGAAAGAGAAAGTGAATGGATCACGGTGAACTTTTGTTTCAAGCGGTGTCGGGTCAGGCCTTAGCGCTGACTTCGAACCAAGAGGTTGTGTGAATTAATCCGGCCAAACTTGGACATCTCAGCGCTCTGTCATTATCCATGAGACTCTTTGGATGGGGCATATTGCGACACACCAGGCTAAATTCGATCACTGCTTTCGGTTTGATAGTATTCATTTAGTCGGTCCGAGGTGCGTAATAGCGAAGAAGCAAAACCACTACAGGCGTGTAGGTGACCGAAAGACACTTTCAAGTTTGTATCTTCATGTCCCACCGTCAAAAGCACGGGTTCAGTTCTAGAGATATATTCCCGCTCATGGTTAGTGGGAGAAAGGTTTTGTCACACGCAAAGTTTGATTTTTGAGTCTGCCTGTTCTACCGTCTATATTGTATGCACGCTGACATGTTCTTAATACTCGAGCAGGGTGAAATTCGTTCACTGTGACAACCGAGCACTCGGCGACGAACTACTCACATGTCCGAGTCGTCTTGTCAACCACAGTGCACGAAGGCGAGAACGGAAACACGACTCACTGTAGCGTCAGAGACACAACCAGTAGACCTACCACGCCGGTAAGCCACCGTGACGGAGGTAGATGAAAACTACTCATACTCACCCACCAGTCAGTGACTATTTCCTGGCATGTAGTGCCAGGGCAGCAAACTTCACCGTTGTCGCAGGAGTCGGGACATTTACTTTCATCACTGACCACTGATGTGGACACTGACAACTTGAAAGCAGCAACGACGACGAGGATGAAGGGGAGACGCATTATCTGTGAGATGTGATATGAGACTTCAAAAACAAAGCTGAAGGGGATGGTAGGAAGACGGCTTGCTTTTATATCCTGCCAGTGGATAATATTCTGTGCATCCGAAATACTCCTTCAGACAGATGTCATTTGCATTGCCAGCAGACCTTGGGTTTGATTTGCTCTATCCTTGACGATCTATTGGCGGCAGAATACTAGGAAATGCCGATAATATGTAATTCCAACCCATTGTTGCATACAGCCTGCGACAGGTGACATGACAATCCCTGGAAGTGAGCTCAGGAGTCTCATGGATACTGACACTAAACTGGATACCAGGAGATCAGCGCTGAGATCTTGAGATTCCAACTGTGTTGTCATTGCTTGTGACAGACATGCTTATACCTGTCATCCCCCCGTATACTTACATGCTATCATCGAGGTGCTGAATGGACTCTGCGATGATCTTATTTGAGAGACATTGAAACATTGTTCGCTGAACTTTTCTCGAGAGATCATATTCGAGTGGACACCTGCGACAGAGATATGATATATGAGTGATTCAAGAACGAGGCTCAAGACAAAGCTAAACACATGCCGCTCGGTGAGAATCGTCTTGGATCGCCTTTGCTGGGTGATATTCACGGACGCATACACAGGCACTACTGGCCATCAGGAAATGTGCACATTACTTAATCGTGCTTATAATTTTGAAATTTTGTATGAAGTCGAGCAAGCTCGTTAAGCTGAGCTCAAGACTGAACATTTTCACTTAATGTAGACTTGATGTCCCTCGGCAGATACACAGCTAATTTCGTATCAAGGAAGTTAAGACACGGAGTGATTAAGTCAAATAATGCAGGTAAGTTAAAACTCAAGATGGTATTTCGAACGAGTGATGATCTATAAATTTGTTTACATAGAAACCGGCAAATGAATCCAATGAGTTGTGAAATGAAACATCACCATCAATGAATTGAGCGCCAAAAATTGGCATTAGGTGCGATGCATGAATGATTGTGTCGAGATGTATCACAGAGAGCTCTTGTGAGCCATCCTCATGGAAGGAAGGCCGTACCATCCACATGCCACTGTCTGGATCTGGTTTGTTATTGATAAGCTTGAACCAATGTATCAGTGCACAGGGAAAGGTCTTGGTCCTGTGAGAAAATGAGAAAAAACATAGGACCCATCCAACCTCCATCCCATTGATCGAGTCTTCACTGGCAGTGTTGATAAAAACAGTATCATAATGAGGAGGACCTCCCCGCCATGATGGTGTAGCACGAATGTGCTCGCGTTGCATACCACAAACACCGCTCGGGTCACTGGAAGCAAAAAATGTAGTGGCTGCAGAATTGAAGACTTTGATAGGTCCTTTGAATTGTGGACAGGCACTCAGAGGGATATCATCTGAGGTGTGAGTGTCGTCAGCAAGAAGTTGATCGTAAAGGAAAAGTCGGATGAGTTGGGGAAGATCCGGGATATCCATTTCAACTGCCAGGGCACGTATGTTGTGAGTGCAAGAGTGTTCTTCAAGCAACATCAGATTTGGTGAGTGAATTGATTTAAATATGAGAACATAGAACTTACGGGGAGTACATGCTAATTTCACATCACTCTGTGCTTTCGACCCTTCCAACATACCATCTTCATCGTTGTTTTGAGCTCCGTCATCATCATCTTCGACATCTTGAGTATTGTTGGAGGCATTTGAAGTTGTATTTGAGCTCGGGTCAAGTATGGCATCTGAAATTAGCTGTAAACACCTAGTATTGTGCAAGTAAAAATGACATACGAAGATGGCTGACAGCACATGAAGTAAGCATTTTGCGTGCAGTGAAGTCTACTCGCGATGCAGCAATCTTGTTGAGGCGCTGGTTGGTGAGTAGCATTTGTCCGAGTGCATTGAATTTGCTCGATCGTCGCCAAGGCTCCTTGATGGCCTTGATATGTTTTGATTCTGTTATCGATGAGCATAGCCCATTTGGTGCTCCGAACATGTGAATGAGTGAGATATAGTGGGTG